TTGAGTCCTGTGCCAGCTTCAGTGCCCGAGAGCGCTCCAGCTTCTCGGAAGACCCTCTTGCTTGATCGTCCTGAGCGTGTGCCACAAAGCGTGTTGCCAGATCTTCCACGTCCAGCAAACGCATCCCCCATGGATGTTGCCGGCTCTGACCCGAGCTCCTCATCTTCATCGTCCAGTCCATCCTCGCCTGAAGGGTCTGCCAGACCAGCCGCCGATGCAGAGATGGTGAACGATGTTGCCAAACGTGTTCAGGAGGCAGAGCAGGCGAGTGCTGAGGCGCCTGGAGGACAGGCGCACAAGTACCAGCGAGTGGCCCGGATCGGTGCCAGCGAGTACCCGATCAATGATGAGCTTCTTGAGTCAGCCCCCGAATGGGAAGATGCTGCTGTGTACATGGACATGAGCGATGAAGTCAATGCAGAATGGGATGTCCATGGGAAAGACGATGTGGAAGCCCTGGACAGCGAGGCAAGACTGTGGTTCGATGAGATTCCTGATCTGTCCGAGCAGGATTTGAGCGAGCTTGACTTCCTTGCGGACGGCTTTGAGGTGGAGCGGCTGAAGAGAATGAAGGTGATCGAAGAAGTCGCCCTAGACTTCGACACCTCAGATCACAAAGAGCTTTCCTCCAAGTTCGTTCGCACCTGGCGGAAGAAGAAGCGCTGTGGCCGTGAGATGTTCTTCAGAAGAAGCAGACTAGTGGCCAGGGAATACCGGTGGTTGGAAAGGGATAAAGAAGGTTTGTATGCACCTGCTACTTCCTCAATCACCACGAAAGTGCTCCCGTGGCTTTACTGCGAGCTGAAGCGCCGAAGAGATGAGTCCGGTGCTTGCGACTACGAAAGCCAGGTGGGAATCCTAGCGTTGGACATCAAGGATGCTTTCTTGTGTGTCCCGCAAGAGAAGCCGATGTTGGCCAAGCTTCCAGGCTTCGAAGGCACCAAGATGCGATTCCTTCGCATGATCCCTGGCCAGAGGGATGGAACAGCAAGATGGCATGGGTTCATCATGAAGTACATAGGCGAGAGACACAAGCTTGAAGCGTGCGCTGAATGCCCTTCGGTGTACAAGATTCTTGACGGCGCCGGCCGTAGCAACCCGGGAGTGATCCATGTGGATGACTTGTGCCTTGTTGGCTTTGTCAAATGGCTGAAGGAACAGCTTCTGCCGAGCATCGAAGAAAATTTCGAGGTGTCATATGAGCTTGCAGTGAATCCCGGAGGCATCTTCAAGTTCCTCAAGCGTGAACATGTGTTGCTTGAAGATGGAGTGCTTGTGAAGCCACTTGCCGACCATGCTGTCAACATGTGCCAGTTGTTGGAGGTCAGGTCAGGTAGGAAGGTGCCCACGCCTAGTGTCAAGGAGTTGCTTGTGCCCGATGATTCCAAAGTGTTGTCCGTTGACAAAGCAGCACGGTTCAGGAGTGCTGTGGGAATCGCAATGTACGTTTCGCAAGACAGAGCAGACATCGCTTTCACTGTGCGCGTGTTGTCTCAACGACTGAAGAATCCCACCGAGAAGAGCTGGGCCGCTGCGCAAAGATTGGCCAGCTACTTGGATTGCACGAGCAACTATGCGAGCAAGGTTCATGCCAGTTCTGACCGCCGAAGCATTCTCGAGCCAACATGCGTCAGCAGCATGCAATCACATGATGTCCTTCTTGAAGTGTATTGCGATGCAGATTGGTCGGGAAACAAGCAGAACAGACGGTCAATGAGCAGCGGTACCTACCTACTCAACACTTGTTGCGTGCATACGTCGTGTCGCAGCCAGCGATGCGTCAGCTTGTCTAGCACAGAATCCGAGTTTTACGCTTTGGTTTCCGCAGCATGCGATGGGATTTTCCTTAAGCGAATTTTGGAGTTCCTACTGCAGCAGGAGGTAATGCTAGTCATGCGAACAGACAACCAATCTTGCAGACAGATAGCCTTGAAACGCGGAGTGTCAAAGGTGAGACATTTGGACGGCCGTTTCCTATGGGTGCAAGAAAAGGTCAGTGATGGCACGCTCCAAGTAAAATCCGTCGATGGCCGGCGGAACCCTGGAGATCTAGGAACCAAGGTTCCGACAAGTGGAACCAGGCTGAAAGCCCTGCTGCGCATGCATGACTTTGTGGAGTGCATAGGTGACAATGTGGTGCCAGTGGGTGAGGACGAGCACGATGCCCTTGTTCGAACAGTGGACAATGGCATGGAAACTGCACGTGTGCGCAGGCTGGTGTGCAAAACCTTGAAGACGAATGGGTTCAGCAACAGCTTGAATGGTGCCATGATGGTCATGTTGCTCAGTCTTGTTTCCGGTGCCGAAGCAGCTACGAGAGTGAGTGTGGGAATCCAAGCTGAGATGATGGGTGGTGGAATCCGACATGTGTGGATCGTTGCATTTGGGGTTTGCGTCGCGTTGCTACTCACACTTGTGAGCCTTGAGCGGCTACGGAGCCGGTGTGATGGCTGTGCTAGCGAGAACTTCGAAGCTACATGTGCGGTCCCTCTTGATCCGAGCATCACCACTACGACGACTTCGAGCATTGATGTGCCCGAACACGAAACTACATGGGCCGAGTTCTTCAAGCTGAATATCTTGTGGATAATGCTCATGATGTATCTTGGATATGCCCAGTGGATGCTGCAGCGAGCTAATCAGGAAATCAGACGACTGAGAAATGCTCCTCTTGGAGATGCCGTGTCGCAGAAAGATGCGTCGACAACAATGAACATTAACGTGCGTATGCCCACGGAAGTGCCGAGGTTGGCAACCACTGTGCCAAACAGGGTGGTTGTCACGCCCGCTGGACGATGCTATCACCATGCATCGTGCCACACCACCAGAGACAGCAATATCCGAACATTGCATCCTTGTGCCGAGTGCCGCAACCGCTTTGGATGACTGTTTTGATTCACCACTTCAATCCACACTTATGTTTACCAGCCAGCAGAGCTTGTGCATGGGTGCGTGTTTGACAATCCTGTACTATGCAACCCGAAAGCGTTGACTGTGGAGCAGTCATAACTCCGAAGGAATGAGCAATCATTCGGATGGTAACTAGGCCATCCCAATCTCCACAACTACGGGTCCCAGTGACCAAGTGTGCAACACATCTCCGGATGTGTCATGGCGTCCGCTTGCGTCAGTCAAGCAGTCATGCAGCCTGGCATGACATGCGTAGTTCAGTTGGTAGATGTAGGTGTACAGTTTATACTCGCTTGAGCCCAAGGTCCGTCACAAACGTGCATCATGTTGATGTTTGAGGTTGATGCAAACACGTTGCAGCCAAGAGGGCCAGCAGCGTATTTGGGCGGGGTGATCAACATTTTCTCCCGTACCGTGAACCATATTTTGCTTGAACAGAATGTGACTTTTGGACCTTGTAGGAGTAGCATCTTGAAATGAGATCGTGATGCGACATTCAGGCTCAGAATCGAGTTGCAAAAGATCGTGAGTTTGTTCAATAGTGCTAAGGTTTTCATCCCTAAGCCTTAAGGCCCTGTAGGCGTATAATTCACTGAGCATTCAACAAACGAAAATGTGTCACGGTAATTTCGTTCAAAAACCTCCAGCCGCGCGGAGGGTGAGGCGGGGGCGAGGGAGCGGAAGGGGCGGAGCGGAGGGGAGCCGGAGGGGAGGCTGGCCAATCTCCACGTAACGCAGCCGATCGTGGTAGAGACCGAAAGGTTGCTTCATAAAAGCTGGAAAGCTCAAAGATAGGCTAGAATTGAAAACCTTAAACAACTATCCCAAAGTCCCACATGCAAAAAAGCACAACTTCCTTTCAGGAGGAGGTAGCGGCGGCGGAGCCGTGCAGATCGCTTTGATGGTTGCCCGAGACTGCACGGGCAGCTCAGCACAGGTGACCAGCAAACCCGTCCCCTACACACCCGTCATGGAAATGACCACACCGAGGCCTGTCGTGGCATCTTCGGGAGCAGGCATCCACGCAAACTCGCCTAGACACTGCAGCTCTCGTACAGGCCCATTCTTTAAAAGTCTGAGACCTACAATAGGCCGCAAAAGGCACCAGCATTCTAGCTTCGGGCTGAGCAGTTTCACAGAGTGTGGCATGTGTCCACATATCACAGTTGTGTCTCGCCACTGTGGGGGCACTTCAACCCCCGCTTTGCATGTTGACGCAAGATTCATTGCTTCGATGTCGATGCTTTCCTCTGCTTCTTGCAGACCACTTCCACGCAACTATCCGAAAGCCATCGTGCAGCATTGCTGCTATGGCTTGGAGCCATCCGGTGTGCATGCAAACAGTGCCGGCATGTTGAGGTAAGTTTCCACAAGTTGGGCAGTGCCACTGCCCTGGACTCGTGGCTTTGAGCTTTCAGTAGAACATTGCCTTGTATTTCCTTCAACGCACAAAACTTCCGGGATCCTGTGCGCGTGTTTTCAGAGCAGTAGACAAGGTTGGGCTTTGGAATCAATGGGTTACAAGTTACACTGTACTGCTTCTGACTTGCCTGCATGTTGCCCTGCATGTTCAAGTAGGCCAGCATAAGAGTGGGGTTTGATCATTCCCGAAACCACAATGTCCCACATGTCCCAGCCAATTTTCAAATACTCGATGGCAGAGCTGTAGCATGCGGTTGCAGGTTTGTGGCTCCAATGCCCGCTGCCGAAGCCCACAACCATTTCTTAACCACAGGATCGAAGAGTGGGGAACTATTAACGCGCCAGGTGATTCAGCCACATAGGAACATATAGACTGGTAGTTTATTGCCGCGGTCCGTTTGCTTCAGATATCTATATCAACCTCGTGCACAACACGAGAACTCAGCATGTGGGGCATCGCGCCGCGCCATGTTTCAGTTGCCGGTCCCGAGCGAAGCCCCGCCTACCGTGCCCAAGTAGAATTAGATGTGTGAAGGGTTTGGGGTCTGGCATCTATAGGGTTTGTAAAGTTTGGGGTTGTTTGTGGGTTTATGGTTTCAAATTGAGACTGGCTTCCGGCTTCCGTTGCCGTTGTGCCGGTTGAAAGCTGTCAGGCAGAGTTATGTGCCATGAGGTTCCTGAGCACATGAAATGATTGCAGAGGCGCGTTTTGTTCGGTTGAGTCTGTGTTCGGTGTTGCCTTGATGGCTGCAAGACCAAACCTTCTGAAACTCAAGCCCGCAACCTCTGACACTTAAGCCCTCAAGGCCTCAGCCCGGAAAATCCACGAGAACCCAAAAACGAGTCGCCCGCGCGCCGGCGCGCAAAGACGTCCCAGGCTCCTGGCCTTCGGCTTCTTTCACTTCGCCCGTGCCTTCCGCGCCCTCCCTGCCGCTCGCTTGGCCGATGCTCGGCTTCTGCTGGGCGGCGAGGGCTTGCCGGCCCTCCATGGTGGCCAGAAGGCGCATCCCCTTTTGGGGATCTCGGGGTCTCCTTTGCTTACATCATGGGTTTCGAAAAGAGGGCAGGGCTGCTGCATAGTTCTTCAGGTAAGGGGGAGAACTGACCTGACAGAAAACAGCAAGGCACGAAACCCCCACCCTCTTCAGCGAGCCGATCCTGCTGCCCCGAAACCACGAAAGCCTGAAGTTCTTGAAGCCACAGTTCCGATCCCTACCTCCTAAACCCTCAACCCTAAACCCTAAACCCTAAACCCCAGATCTTGAGCTTGTTTCCGCTCTTCAGGGCTCTGGGTAGCAGCCCGTGGGAGGTGCTTGGGGTGCCTGGGCCGCACCTTTTGGGGGCTTTGGTTGGCTTGGGATGGTTTAGGGTTTAGGGTTTAGGGTTTAGGGTTTAGGGTTTAGGGTTTAGGGTTTAGGGATTAGGGATTAGGTTCCTCGTGAGGCACTATTGACAACAACCCTTGCAGCGCGCTCTGGCAAGCCAGGTGTCTCCTGGAGCAAGCCAGACAGAGATCAAGCGGGCCTATCGCCGAAAAGCTCTGTGACTCGGATCTCACATGATCTCGCGCGGTTCAGCGTAGCAGATTGCAGTCTGGGTGGAGCATCTTTGATGTCGCGGAATCGGAGTCACAAGAGATGAGGCTGTTGGCTCCTTCTTCCAACACGCATTCAAGCTTCTGTCATGCAGCGGGGTTCAACACTGGGGTTCAACTGTGGAGAGCCCACTCTCCAAGAAAACGCCCCCGAAACACCCCTGCTTTCTTCATTCCCGCTTGTCCCTACTGCCTTGCTGTCGAGGAAAGAGCATCCTGATGTCAGCAAGCTGCCCGATGCCAAGCAACGGTGGCAGGAAGAAGTGCCACGTGGCCTCCGTCACCTGAAGTCTCAAACGCACGAACCTTAAATCCTCCCTAAATCCTAAACCCTAAACCCTAAACCCTAAACCCTAGCCCTAAAACCCTAAACCCTAAACCCTAAACCCTAAACCCTAAAACTTCGGGGGATTTGAACGCTCCAAGCCTCTCGGGTTTGGCGCGCCTCAACATGCCTCAACATGCCTCAGCCCTCCATGACCCCAGCTGAAAGCTTCAGCATGCTTTCAGCCCTGTGACGTGACACTTTACAGTGAACAGCTAATTCCCCTAAGAAGCAACTAGCCTGAACGGCCGAAACTTCGAACTCCGAAGCCCCAAGCCGTAAATGCATGGAGGAGCTGTCGGCCGCGTACGACGCCCTGAGCGACCCCGCCCCTCTGCTCCGAATGAAAACAAGTCCACGGACTCTTCCTTTGGGGTGGTGGCGGGTCCCAGGTTTAAGGTTCGGGGGTTTCTCTCTAGGGTTGGCAGAGCTAATGAACCCTGAAGCACTGGAAGACCAGAACCCCAAGAAACACCTCTTAGTTTGAGGTATGTGTTTCGTCCGACATGTTGGTCACTTGTGACCACTTCACCTGAGTCACTTGTGCCCGCGTCCTCGCGGGTCACTTGTGCCCGCGCACTGTCATTGTCTCGTCCGCTTCTACGAGTTTTGGGCTGTCGCGGTCTCGTCCTCTTCTAGGGGTTTTGGGCTGTCACGGTCTCGTCCGCTTCTAGGGGTTTTGGGCTGTCTCGGTCTCGTCCGCTTAGGGGTTTTGGGCTGTCACGGTCTCGTCCGCTTCTCGGGTTTGGGCTGTCACGGCCTCGTGTGCTTCTCCATTTTTCCACCCCCTCCCATCCTCCCACCTCCCCGCCACCACCCGGATGTCGTCATTTAACCCTCCCCCAGTTTCCCCCCCGCCAATGATACCGTGGGCGCAAGTGACCCGAAATGACGTGAGCACAAGTGACCCGGATCACGTGGTCACAAGTGACGGTGCTGCCCTTTGTCCGGTGATAGGTCTGACATGTCTGCAGGCATTTGCATGACAACCCCTAACTACCCGGTCGTTGCGCCGTATTTTGCCTGGTTGTTTCTGCTGTGACAAGTTCGGATTTATGTGGCAGGCTCGGCATTTCTGCTAACCGCGTGCTTTCAAGGTCCTGCAAAACTACTTGGTTCAATCCAGGGTTTTGGGCGTCCACTGCTGGTTGTGTCTTGGGGTAAATACATAGGAGCAAAGCATGACATTACACAAGATTTTGTAAAATATTATGTCGAAAATCAGAAGAAACGACCAGGCACACAAGCGCGATGACAGACTAGCCGCTACCCCAACCCCAACAAGGCCAAAATAAGGCGCAATGAAGGAACCTTAAACCCTAAACCCAGCCCAGGGGATTTAAGTTCCCTGAAGCCGCAGTAGAGGATCCCATCCCAAAAGTGGTCTCTTTTGCCTGGGCTCATGGCAGCCGTTGCGCGGTCAGGGTTTTGGGTTTAAGGGTTTGGGGTTCGGCGCTTGAAGGGTTGGGGCTTGGGGTTCAGGAGTTTAGTCTTGCCGATGTAAGGAGAAGCTGAGGGCCTGGGAGCGCGCCCCGGCTTGGAGACTGGGGTTCAGGGCGAAGTTTTGGAGCCGTGTGAGATTTACAGGAGTCCCGGCTTTTCCTTCCTCCCCCCCCCAGGGCTAAGGTGCAGAAGAGCGGCCCATGATAATCCATTTCTTTTCGATGCCGAGCCTTAAAGTTAAACGGCTCATCGGATCCCCTGTGAGCTCCTCCTTCCATCAGTTGCCTCAGAGGAGGAAGTGGTGTATCTTCTCCGCTCTGTGGTCGGTTCTGCGTAGGGCCGGGAGCCAGGTGGCAGGTACTGTAGTAGACCCTCAACCCGAAATCCCAAATCCCAAACCCCAAACCCAAAACCCTAAACCCTCACAGCTCCGGAAGCCCTTCAGCTTCGCATGCTTGGGAGAGAATCCTCCTAGACCTACCTGAGAAGTCGAGAATACGTAGAGTAGCCTACGCCCTAAACCCCCACCCCCTAAACCAGGCCACTCTTATTGTGGAGTGTCAGGTGCCAAGCGCGGGGCGGAAGCCCAAGCCCGACGGGGTGCAGGTGGGGCCTGGGTTCCAGGAACAGCGTTTCGGGTTTAGGGGTAGGGGGTTTGTAGGGTTTTGTTGGTTGGGTGGGTAGTTAGGAGTTTTGGGTCTGGGATTCTTGGTTTTTCCATGGCTCATGGCCGTGCCGTCCATCAGCGCGCCCGGCGGAGTTCTCTATCAGTTCTTGCGGAGATTGTCATCGGCTTGCGCAAGGGAAGCTGCACGCAAATTCTGAAAGCCTGGACCCGGACTTCCCTCCGGCCCAAGAGCACCTAATGACGGGGCCGCGGCCATCCCAAGCTCCAAAGCCAGCCGGCAACCCTAAACCCCAAACCCTAAACCCCAAACCCCAAACCTTAAACCCTAAACCCCAAACCCTAAACCCTAAACCCTAAACCCCAAACCCCAAACCCTAAACCCTAAACCCCAAACCCTAAACCCTAAACCCTAAACCCTAAACCCCAAACCCCAAACCCTAAACCCAGGGCAGGCGGGGCGCGGTGCACAGGGCCGCTGGCAACGGACGCAAGCCATGGAGGAGGAGTGGCTCTGCTGCCTAAGTAAATGTAAAAATAAGCCAGTCGTACTATATTTTTTTATTTGCATACATACATACATATTTGTGGCTCTATATGATACTCGACACCCTTAAAGTGCATTAGATAGCATGACAGTGGGACCGCAAACTTGCGGGTCCATGTAGTAGGACCACAGGCCTTGCACGGCCTGCGATGGGAGGTGGGCGTAATAAGAATAATGTCATTCATATGGCGAGCGACACTTCTTCAGCCCTCCTGGCCCCCAGCAACGCGAAAGTATGGAAATCTACAGCACGAACTACCCGTTGCAGAATTGCGGAGGTACCATGCAGTAGGCTTAGGGTTTGAGTTGTTCTTGTTCGGGGAGTCTTCCATTTCTGTAGATCCAGACCCCAAATCCCGAAGCCTTGAACTTCTAGATTCGTATTGGTCCCCGTAAGGGTACCCTAAATCTTCGAAGGGCCCCTTCGGAATCAACTGCCACAGTCATGTGGAGCCCCAGTTCGCCGCATTTTCGTTTCTGTTCTTGGGTTTTTTTCGAGCGGCTCCGGGTATTCTTGCGCAAGATCGAGGTATGACACTGGTGGTGATTCCTTCAGTGCCATCTTTAGCGACTTCTTCCAGAGCGTGGCAGACTCCGCCGCCTGACACTCTAGGTGCTTAGGTAACCCGAAATGCAAGCCAAGCCTTGAGTGTTGAGGTTTGAAGGTCTTTACGTCGAGACGCGTCGAAGTCGCTTCCCAAACCGTAAGCGTCTTAAGCCTTGAAACCCTAAAGTCTTGAAACCTCGTCCCTACAAGCCCAGTCCCTTCTGAAAGGATCCGGGAGCAGAAGCAAAGGACACCGCGATCAGTTTTTTCTCAATACAGCTCTGTCTACGAGTCCCAGTCCCAGAGTCTCAGACGTCATGCGTACCTCCTATTCCTCCGTAGTCTGATCTGCCCCTTCGCCCCCTTGCCCACGAAATCTGCGGGAGTTCTTGAGGCCGAGGGAAGCGGCCGCGTGGGCCGCGTCAAGAAGGCGGGAGGCCTGCGCCTGCACTCTCCAGGGTTTTGGGGGGGGTCGGTTTCTGTCTTTTCGGGGTTTGTGTTTAGACTGCTTCAAGATGTTCTGGGGTTTTTTGGGCTCTTACATTCTGGGTTTCGGGTTGAGGGCCTTTTTTTGGCTTTGCGATCTTCAGGGCCTCTACAGCTCTTTGGAATTGGGCCTTCACAGTTCAGGCCCTTTAGAGGTTACCCCTGTGCAACCGGAGGCATGTTACTGGAGGACCTACTGGAATTCCTGGAGAAGGGCCTGGGCGAGGATGGCATGGCGTCTGCGCGCCGCTGTGCAGGATTCAGCCGTGTTCAGCTCATGGACTTGCTAGTGGCTTCCAAAAGTCCAAAGGGGCCCCCGACTGTTCTCTATCACTTTGGGTCGTAGATTCTTGAGGGTGTCCTTCTTGGCTATGGGTTTCAAAAAGGGCTGAAACGAGCAAGGCCCCCAAACGCTGAACAAACGACATAAAGCAGCAGCTAAGCCCAACGATATCAAATGCCCTTACCCCCTAAACCCTGAACCTTAGACCCAAAAGGTCATGCCCTCCCCCGCCTCCTCCCCACCCCCTCCCCGCCCACTCCCCGGCCCCCCTCCGCAGGCCGCAGCCCCTTCGACGCCGACCCCGAGAAGGAGCTCCAGGAAGCTCAGCTCGAGCGCCCGGGTCGCAAAGGTCTGAAAGGGCTGGGGGGGGGGTTGGGGTTGTCAGGGCGGATTTTCGGCTACCGAAGACTTAGATGAGCTTACATGTTTGGAACCTGGGATGGGCTGACTCCAAATGGTGACGGTTCATGGTGTCTCGCCTCCATTGCGGCAAAGCACGCCATTGCTGAGCGAAGCCCGCGTTGGCAAGAACCATACTGCCTCAATGCCAATCACAGGCCCATGAAATTCCCAAATTCCCAGGCTCTGCGTTACAGCCAAGGTTTCGGACGATGGAGAGCCGTGACGAGGCATCGTCACCTGTGAAGTGACCTGACAATGCCAGGGACCTTGCAGCCCGAACCCGAACACTTGAGCCCTCAGCCGCTAGGCTGCTTAAGCCATCTTAAGCCCTCTTAACCCCAAACTAGGATCCCGTTTGCGGGGGGTCTCTTAAATGGTGACCCTTTCAGGGTCACTGGAACCCAGGGGCCTGAAATGGTCCCGGCTTGCCATTTTGCAGACCTCCCCCCCAGCCTGGAGCCGCTCCGCCTCTTCCTTTCCTTTCTGTTTTTTATTTGAGAGAGAAGAAGAGAAAGAGTGAGAGGCTCCCCTTGTGCCTTCCGCGATCTCAGCTTTTCTTGGCAAAGAGAGAAGGTCCCCCTGCTTGAGCCGCTCTCTGCTCCCTCAGCATCCCTTTTCCCAAGCGGGTGTGGCCAACAGCTCTGGCGCATGCTGCGCAAAGAGCCCGCCCGTCTGGAGGAATGTCACCTTCACCAAGCACAACTCAGGACTGTTCCAACTGTCCCCCCGCAAAAAAAGTGGGTAGCCTCAAAAAGACCACGAAGGCATTAACTGATTACTTTTTCAGGAGTCCTTCTTTGCCACACATATCCAGATAACACAGATGCTTGTCTTTCCATATCTTTTCCTTGGAGAGTACGAGAAGGTGCCCCTTAAGTGGATCAGCCATTGAGAACCGATGCGGCATTTGATGCAAAAAATCCCCAGCGCTTAGGCTTATCATGGCTTGACTATCAACACCAAGGAAAAATTAAGGTGGCTATAGCTGCTAGCCGCTGGATTCACGATGTGAGCATTTAAGCAAACATCCTGGAGCCTGTGACTTTACACCCCGTAGCCCGGAAGCCAGTTGTCTTACAATTACAATTGTAACCTACTACTTCAGACCTCACACCTCGAAACCAGGCCGCAGGATGCGCGTGTTGGCTAGGCCTACTTTGGTGCCATGAGATGAGGAGAAAAAAAAGAACCAGATTGGCTTTGTTCGTAGACGAGAATTCTGCGACATTCAAGGCAGGCTGGTCCAGTGGTTAGGCTTGGGGGGAGATCCATAGCCAACACACAACAAGTCCATAGCCAACAGAAGGTCTAAAATGGGTTGCCCGGATTATGCCCAGTTTGTAGTCCCTATAGGAAATAGCACAGTTGGGGGTTTAAATAATGGGCTTCCGACGCTTCCCCCCGTCTCCCGGACACGTTTGTCAAGCGCATGCCCTTCATGCCCATGTGAAGCAGGTTTGTATTACTACGATTTTTTTGGGGAGTGAGTGAGTGAGTGAGTGCGTGTGCGTGTGCGTGTGCACGTGTGTGCGTGTGTGTGCGTGCGTGTGCGTGTGCGTGTGCGTGCGTGTGCGTGTGCGTGTGCGCGTGTGCGTGCGTGTGCGCGTGTGCGCGTGTGCGCGTGTGCGTGCGTGTGCGCGTGTGCGTGCGTGTGCGCGTGCGTGCGTGTGCGCGTGTGGGCGTGTGCGCGTGTGCGCGTGTGTGCGCGTGTGCGCGTGTGTGCGCGTGTGCGCGTGTGTGCGCGTGTGCGCGTGTGTGCGCGTGTGCGCGTGTGTGCGCGTGTGCGCGTGTGTGCGCGTGTGCGCGTGTGTGCGCGTGTGCGCGTGTGTGCGCGTGTGCGCGCGTGCGCGTGTGCGCCTGTGCGCGCGTGCGCGCCTGCGCGTGTGCGCGCCTGCGCGCGTGCGCGCCTGCGCGCGTGCGCGCGTGCGCGTGTGCGCGCGTGTGTGCGCGCGTGTGTGCGCGTGTGTGCGCGTGTGTGCGCGTGTGTGCGTGTGTGTGCGTGTGTGTGGGTGTGTGTGTGTGTGTGTGTGTGTGTGTGTGTGTGTGTGTGTGTATGGTTCCTTTTAGTATTGGGGAGTGTATACCTTGGGTGTTTTTTGGGGGTACAAGAAATATGAACCCTACACCATGTAGTCGTCTGCCGAAAGGCCGATGGACGAGCCTGCCGTTGCACTCTTCATACATCGTGCTCGCGAACCTCATTTCCCCCTTTGACAGGGGTAATCTAGGGGCCTTACTCTTTAGAATATGGTCTTGGGGGGTATTGCTTTCTGGTATGGGAACGCTATGAGCAATCGTTCCGACCCCTACATCAGAGCTCTTTGCAGGCCCTGAAAAACGAGGCCGCGGCGTGGGAGCGCAAGGCGGAGCTTTGCCGCAACAGCGGGGACAAGGCCCCCTGACAGCTGCACGACAGGACGAGGTTTGGGCTCGTGTGTGTGTGTGTGTGTGTGTGTGTGTGTGTGTGTGTGTGTGTGTGTGTGTGTGTGTGTGTGTTTTTTGTTTTGTTTTCTCCGTTTTGGGTTTAACGGCACCCCCCCAAGCGGCCCATCAGACATCAGCCCTGAGCCTAGAACGATTAATGGTACGTAGTGGTGGTAAGGATTGCCCCCACACCCCCTCCCCGGAGGGGGGGCTCCTATCCCATGCTCCATTCCTTGACGGGCCTTTAGAACAACCCCCCCTGAAAGACGTACAGAGCCCCCCCGACCCCCGGCCCCCCTTCATCACGAAAGCTAGCCCCTGAGGAGCTAGCGGAGTATCTTACCTAAGCGAAGCTTACAACCTGAAGGGTATACAGGGCCCCCGGAGGCTCCGCCACGAAACGCAGCAAACCTGGTCGGTTTCCGGGTGGCGAACACAGGTTTTGGGGAAACGGGCTGGCGTTCATTTCTTTCGTATATTGGGTGCAAATGAACGCCGTTTTCTGTGGATCCCAGGCCAGAAAAGCCCCCCAAGTCCCCCAAGAAAAGACTCAGAAACCTTGATGTTGATTTGAGTCTGGCGTCCCTCAAAGCTGGATTGGACAGACTTCAGACTTCGCCTGGCGAGTGCAACATCTGTTGTGGTGTCATGCACTTCAAAAAAGAGCCCTCCGGAAGATGCTAACAGAAAAGCCCCCTAAGAAAAGACTCAGAAGCCTTGATGTTGACTTGAGTCAGGCGTCCCTCAAAGCTGGATTGGACAGGTTCCCCTGGTAAGTGCAACATCTGTTGTGGTGTCATGCGTTTCAAAAAAGAGCCCTCCGGAAGATGCTAAAACACCGCAGAGCAAAGCAACACACCAACACATTGCCAGAAGGAATGCCACGTCAATATTGGCACCTGCGCCAGAAAAAAGGTGACACGACCTGCTGCCTTTGCGTGTGCTTGTCCTTCTGCGTAGTTGATGCCATGTTGAGGGAAGCTCTTCCGTGGGGGTACCTTAACTAGCTTTCGTCCCAGGCTTCACCCCCAAGTCATCCCAGAAATGCCCCCGGAACCTGCGCAAAGCGAGCTGATAGTCGGAGGCCGGCGAGCTGGATGGCATGCAGCGTTCCCTGGTGGCCGGGAGATGTGCGTTTTCTATTTGTATTGTATGGCTTGTACAGCTCGTCGTGCCCTCAACGCCTCCAAGTCCAGACTGGACCACGCCGAGGAGCCAGGCCCAAACCCAGAGAGGACCCCCAAACTTTGAAACCTCAAAGCCCCCAGGCTCAGGCCCACCATACTCAACCCTCAACCCTCAACCCTCAACCCTCAACCCTCAACCCTCAACCCTCAACCCTCAACCCTCAACCCTCAACCCTCAACCCTCAACCCTCAACCCTCAACCCTCAACCCTCAACCCTCAACCCCTCTCTGCACGCCGAATCCCCGAAGCCCGCAATCCGAGGTCTCTTCGAGGCGCGTGAGAGGCGGAAGACCATCCGGCGGCGGCTGCTGAGCCTGACGGAGCGAGTGGAGTACCTGCAGAAGGCACCCGCTTGGGGTGGAGATGTAGGGGGGGAGGTTGGCGTTGTTTGGGTTGAAGCTTTGGGCAGGAGTTGGATGGCAGGGTTTCGGCTTTCAAGTGGCGTGGCGCTGTTGGACTTCGGGAAGAGTCCAGGTGTGTCGAGCTTTGTGGTTTCAGTATTGTTATTGCAGTGTTTCATTCCTGGTGTCAGGGGCCCTTAAACCCTAAACCCCAAACCCTAAACCCTGAACCCTAAACCCGAAACCCGAAAGCCTAAAACCTTTAAACGCAAAACCCTGAGACCCTGCAATCCTCTTGAAACCCTAAGCAGGGCCCTGGTGATGGCAGCCAGAGGCCTTCATGTTGTCTGCAGGTGCTCTTTGAGTTCCAGCGCAAGAAGGAAGTGCCTGGGGCCACGCACCCCCATCCCACCCTTCAACCCTCTAAACCCTAAACCCTAAACCCTAAACCCTAAACCCTAAACAACCTTAACCCTAAACCCCTAAACCCCAAACCCTGAACCCTAAACCATCCAAAACAGCTCGAAATCGGTCCCAAGGCGAAGAAGGCGGCCGGTGGTACCAGCGGAGCCGGCACTGCGGGAAGGCCCCTCTTTTCTTGCGGTGACGGAGTTTTTTTTGCTGCCAAGGCCGCGGGTTGAGGGTTGAGCGTTAACCCGAACAACCCCAAACCCTGAACTCCCTAAACTCCCGAAACTCCCGAAATTCCCGAAACTCCTGAAGACCCCGAAAGTCGCAGAGCTAAGCTTGGGGGGGCGGGTGGAGCGACAAGTCATCGCCCAAAAGGTTCCGCCTGCAGTGCAAAACGTGGAGCATAGGCCCACTTTTGGCTTTCCTCTAAACCCGCTAAACCCTAAACCCTACAGTAAACCCTACACCATAAAGCCTGTAAACTCGAAACCCCGAAACCCTTAAAGACTCTCTTGAGCCCTGAAAGCGCGCAGGGCGCCCGGCCCCACGCCAGGGGCCCGGTCTGCTCCGAACTTCGACGCCGAGAAGGCCTTGTCCTTCTTAAGAGCTTAGGGTGTTTGGGGTGTTTGGGGTGTTTGGGGTGTTTAGGGTGTTTGGGGTGTTTAGGGTGTGTTTGGGGTGTTTGGGTGTGTTGAGCGGTTTGGGGTTGAGGGTTTGTAGATGACGAAGCTATGCAGCTGGGTGACGATGCCCGCCCCCCCCCCCCCCTCATGTTTAGCTAAATCTGGGAAGCTGGAGCCGTAAGACAGGGAAGCAGTGGCGGATGCGGGAGACGCCTTGTGCACCTGAAGTAGGGGAAGTTTGCCCTAAACCCTAAACCCGAAACCCTAAACCCTAAACCCTAAACCCTAAAGCCTAAAGCCCAAACCCCAAACAGGCCCTGGCCGACCTGAAGAAGCAGAAAGGCAAGCTCTGAGGGACGCGGACGCCCGCATAGGGACGCCCGCATAGGGACGCTTTGGCTGTTTGAGCCGCCTGAGCCAACAGTCGCTGAGAAGTGCGCCTTGCTCCTTGAAGCGCCTGCTCGGGTCCTTTGGGGTTTAGGGTTTAGGGTTTTGCTTCCTCAGCTGGCTCCGCAGCTTTTAATTTCGGTTCACGTTGGCCTTCCCCAGTCGTTCAGTATCCTCAGAGCTATGACCCGCGTGTCAGAAGCCAAGCAGGCAGGGGGCTTAGGGTCAGACTCTGCACCCATCGCGTAGAGTGTTCATATCCGTGTCCAAGAACGTTGGGAAAAGCTTTGTTCCCCTTCTTAAAGTCGAGGCGCTGGCTCGAGGGAGCCACGCGATCCTGCGGGGTGACAAGGCACACGATCTGGGCTATGAAGGTGGCAACGTCAAAGTCCGTGTTGAGCAAGTCCGCAACCGCGACTCCACTGTCTTCATCGGCTTCCCAGACGGACGGGAAGCTTGGGTGAATGCAAAGCACCTCCATGCCGCAGTGAACCGGCCTCAGTACAACTTCATGCGACTCCTTCATCTCATTCAGGTGTCGGTGTCCGAGATCGTGGAAGTTCTGGAGCAATGTTGGAAGCACCTGGTGAGGGACATCCGCTCTGAGCATGCTCCTAGTCGGTCGTTGGACACGTGTGTTGCTCTTTCGGAAGTGCATGTCTGCTGGAACATCTGATTGACAAAAACCGCGGTTTTTCTAATAGACATTCAAAAGGTTGCCCTTCTGTGCTTCTACCTCCTCAACGTCTTCGCCTTCATGCTCGTCGAGTGGTGGCGGCTTTCCATCGTCTGGGCGATGCGTCCCTGGTTCGTGTTCCTCGTTTGGTACACCTGGGACGCCGTCTGCTGCTGGAAGGCCGTCATGCGCCGACGCCTCCGGCGCTCCGAGCCCGGCAGCCCCTCAAACAAGCATCGCCCAGAGCAGGGGCTCCGAGCCCGCAGCAGTCTTGGCCTACCCCAAGAGGAGGAGATCGAGAATCTGTCTGACTTGCTTGCAGCAAACAAGGACGGTGAACATGCCAAGGATCCCGACTCCCCCAGGAAGTTGCAGGAGAGGCGCGCAGCCGCGTCAGGTGTCTTGCCGCAAGTCAACGGCGACGGGAGTTTGGAGGAAGACATTGCTCCCTTCTTGGACATGGACCACGTTCACCTCACCTTTTGGTTCTTCCTATGGGGCCGCATCTTCATTGGCTTGGGCGCATGGGCCAGCATGATCTTCGGCGGCAAGGACACTCCGGGCATCCTGCGCTATGGGCTGAGGCGGGTCTTCAACGACCTCGGTGTTTGGCCGCATCACGTCAAGAATGCCAGGAGTTTGGCTGCAGAACTTCTCTTGGAGACCACTCTTTCCATCTACGTGCGCGAGGTGGAAACGACAGGCAGCCTGACCGTTGCTCGCTTTGCCATTCCGGACGTCCCACACTACACTCAGCAAGGCAAGAAGGCTCAGAAAAAAGTTCGTTTGGCCGTAAAGCAGTGCTTCAACGATTAGTCTCTGGCACGATCCCAAACCACTCCATACCTTCTGGAGCGTAGCACCATAGGGCCACAGGGCGTACTGTGCGCTCAGCAAGGCAAGTGCTTGCAGCATGCCGAGCTGTTGGCGGAGGTGGACTTGACGGACAGATCCGACCAAGTCCTCATGCGGGCAGCGTGAACCCAATGTTTCTGTGTGTGTTCCTGAGTCAGTTCTTCGCGTTCTTCGTTGCAGCAGGTGGAAGTAGTGGTGCGTGTAAGACTCGTTGATTCATGTATTCCCTATCCTCCTGGGTATCCCAGGCAACCTATGGGGGGGCAGCCATCCGGGCAGACGAGGCCCTGCTGATGCTTCGTCGATTTTTTCAGTCTGAGGTGAGGGAATATGGGAATGAGGGGTTGAAAGGGCGTAGGCTACGTAGCCTTGCAAGTTTCGGAGATTTCGGGAGCTTCAGGTTTATGGGGTTGCCAAGTCCTCCTAGAAAGCCAGGCAGTCATCTTGCTCAACATGGCATGCTGCTACTTGGTGCACCCGATGCTGCAACTTGAGCGGATAGCAGACTTTCTCTTTCTGGGTTACCTCGTGCAGTTTACATCTAGATTTGTCGTTGAACGCCGTTCCTTTCGTATCGATGATGAACAAAGCATGAACAATGTTGTGTACACCATTCGCACATCTACGATTCATCGCATGCAATGTTCTCAGGGTATTTGCACAGGGCAAGAAGCTACAAGTACTGGTAAGGCATGCCTTCAGCAACTGGGCTGCCAACCCAGAGAGTCCAGACCCGACCATTCGGAAGTATTCCATTGGCACCATCCTGTACAACTACTACGGCGTGAATGCCTTTGCGAACTGGTGTGACCTTGGAAGCTGGCTGGGCTTTTGCAACGTGGACGCAGAATGCTTCCGAACCTTGATCTCGTCCTGCTTGGTTCACGGCATCCCCCCGCATGCCGACATCAAGAAGCTGAAGGACGTCACGGAAAAGCAAGCATCGCAATTCGTCCTGCATCTTTGTTGTAGCAGTCTGAACCATGTTTCTGCAGTGGTAGATGCGGCGACCGCGAGTAGTTGAAGGATCACAGCCGCCTCGTGAACTTCCTGCTTCCCGTGCGGTCGCGCTTCTTGTACCTCTTCCGGAAGCACCAGGCGGACTTCCCAGGGATTGATGGAGAGGCGCTCTTCCTGGCCACGGTCGTACACCCGCTGGACCATTACAACCTGATCACGATGCAAAAAGCTCTGGACCAGGCCAGGGGCTTGCCAAGTTCACGATACTCTGCAACATCGCATGTTATCGTCTGTACACTGCTGCCTGCGGACTTTGTTCTTGGGTTCCTAGCCTCTTCTTGGGCTCGGAAGCTGATGAGCTAAGGGGACGCTCAAGGAGGGTTATGCGGAGGACCTGTTCGTGGTGAGGTCGGCCATCATGCTCCTCGGCATTTTCTGACGAGAACGGTGCCTTCTGAAGGGGCGGGGGGGGAGCTCGGGAACAAACCCAACCTCCACCTTGAAGCGCCTGAGCCCCTCCCTCAACCGTAAACTCTAAACCTAGGATCACGTCGGAGAAGCTCTTTCTGACCTACCTTGTGAACGATTTCAGCTTCTCCGGTTCGTCGCATCCACTCTTCAAGGACACAGCAGAATTGCTTTCGCGAGTGCATTTTGTCACCCTACTTCAGGGAGGTTAGAACCGGAGTGTTGAGAGAACTTTGGGATTTGGGGCCCTAAGCCCTCTCAGCCGTGCGTCTCGCCGTTCCAGGATACCTACGACTTTGCCAAGCAGCGTGACCAACGGTTTGCTGATGAGATGGAGTGCTGCGTCCTGCGTTAGTCGCTTTGCGGGGCTTTGCGAGCCGCGGTCCGAGCGCCCGGAGGGTGGAGGGGGGTCGCAGCTGCGACGCCGGCGTCTGGCCGGTGTTTCCCAACGTGGACTTTTCCCTGGAGATCCGTAGTTATGTCCCTCTGCTTGAGGGAATTCAGAGCACGAACCATCGCCACAGCGGTCCTTCATAAGTTAGGCCTTGCAATCGCCTTGCAGAACTATACCGCGGATCGCCCAGATTTCCTGAATATCCACTCGGTCCGGCAGTGTCCTTCTCCAATCCCACAAGTTTTTTGAGCATGGAAAATTGATGTGCCGCGGCCGTAACGCCGGGCAATCAGAGCTGGCCTGAACTTCGGATGGCATCCGATGGCATAGTTACTATATGTTACAATATGGCCAGATACTGAAGTGCAGCATCACCTGCTCAGCAAAACGACTTTGTGGATGCAGACATGCATTCAGGGTCGTCTGTTCCTTTTGTTCCATCTGCTTATATCTGCTTGCAGAAGCAGTGCTGTTCGTCGGCTCCTCTGTTCCGAAGGAGTTTCCGTGAATTCGCCGCTAGCTCCTGTTCAGATGCACCGAGAGTCTAGTGCCTGTGGCGAGACGTTGTGGCCGGCAGCCCGACAATCGCAGTGGCTTAGCGCGTGCCCCTCAAAGCTGTGAGTGCCTTGCGCGCCTCTCGGACTTGCTCGGGTGGCTCCGCAGCATTTTTTCGGTTCACGTTGGCCTGCCTCCGCAGTCGCTCAGTATCCTCAGAGCTATGACCAACGGTGCAGAAGCCAAGCAGGCAGGGGTCTTAGGGCACTCCCCATCGCGTGGAATGTTCAGACATGTTCAGATCTGTGTCCAAAGAACGTTGGGAAAAGGGCAGGGTTAACTTTGTTCCCCTTCTTAAGATGGAGGCGCTGGCTCGAGGGAGCCACGCGATCCTGCGTGACAAGGCAAACGATCTGGGCCATGAAGGTGGCAACGTCAAACTTCGTGTTGAGCAAGCCCGCAACCGCGACGCCGCCGCCTACTCCTTCATGCGACACCTTCATCAGGTGTCGGTGTCCGAGATCGTGGAAGTTCTGGAACAATGTTGGAAGCACCTGGTGAAGGACATCCGCTCTGAGCATGCTCCTAGTCGGTCGTTGAACACGTGTGTTGCTCTTTCGGAAGTGCCTGTCTGCTCGAACATCTGCTTGACAAAAAACCCCCGGACTTTCCAAAGATAATTTAGAAAAGGTTGCCCTTCTGTGCTTCTACCTCCTCAACGTCTTCGCCTTCATGCTCGTCGAGTGGTGGCGGCTTTCCATCGTCTGGGCGATGCGTCCCTGGTTCGTGTTCCTCGTTTGGTACACCTGGGACGCCGTCTGCTGCTGGAAGGCCGTCATGCGCCGACGCCTCCGGCGCTCCGAGCCCGGCAGCCCCTCAAACAAGCATCGCCCAGAGCAGGGGCTCCGAGCCCGCAGCAGTCTTGGCCTACCCCAAGAGGAGGAGATCGAGAATCTGTCTGACTTGCTTGCAGCAAACAAGGACGGTGAACATGCCAAGGATCCCGACTCCCCCAGGAAGTTGCAGAAGAGGCGCGCAGCCGCGTCAGGTGTCTTGCCGCAAGTCAACGGCGACGGGAGTTTGGAGGAAGACATTGCTCCCTTCTTGGACATGGACCACGTTCACCTCACCTTTTGGTTCTTCCTATGGGGCCGCATCTTCATTGGCTTGGGCGCATGGGCCAGCATGATCTTCGGCGGCAAGGACACTCCGGGCATCCTGCGCTATGGGCTGAGGCGGGTCTTCAACGACCTCGGTGTTTGGCCGCATCACGTCAAGAATGCCAGGAGTTTGGCTGCAGAACTTCTCTTGGAGACCACTCTTTCCATCTACGTGCGCGAGGTGGAAACGACAGGCAGCCTGACCGTTGCTCGCTTTGCCATTCCGGACGTCCCACACTACACTCAGCAAGGCAAGAAGGCTCAGAAAAAAGTTCGTTTGGCCGTAAAGCAGTGCTTCAACGATTAGTCTCTGGCACGATCCCAAACCACTCCATACCTTCTGGAGCGTAGCACCATAGGGCCACAGGGCGTACTGTGCGCTCAGCAAGGCAAGTGCTTGCAGCATGCCGAGCTGTTGGCGGAGGTGGACTTGACGGACAGATCCGACCAAGTCCTCATGCGGGCAGCGTGAACCCAATGTTTCTGTGTTTGTGTTCCTGAGTCAGTTCTTCGCGTTCTTCGTTGCAGCAGGTGGAAGTAGTGGTGCGTGTAAGACTCGTTGATTCATGTATTCCCTATCCCCCTGGGTATCCCAGGCAACCTATGGGGGGGCAGCCATCCGGGCAGACGAGGCCCTGCTGATGCTTCGATTTTTTCAGTCTGAGGTGAGGGAATATGGGAATGAGGGGTTGAAAGGGCGTAGGCTACGTAGGCTTGCAAGTTTCGGAGATTTCGGGAGCTTCAGGTTTATGGGGTTGCCAAGTCCTCCTAGAAAGCCAGGCAGTCATCTTGCTCAACATGGCATGCTGCTACTTGGTGCACCCGATGCTGCAACTTGAGCGGATAGCAGACTTTCTCTTTCTGGGTTACCTCGTGCAGTTTACACCTAGATTTGTCGTTTAACGCCGTTCCTTTCATATTGATGATGAACCAAGCATGAACAATGTTGTGTACACCATTCGCACATCTACGATTCATCGCATGTAATTTTCTCTAGGTACTTGCACAGGGCAAAAAAAACCTAAGGCATGCCTTCAGCAACTGGGCTGCCGACCCAGAGAGTCCAGACCCGACCATTCGGAAGTATTCCATTGGCACCATCCTGTACAACTACTACGGCGTGAATGCCTTTGCGAACTGGTGTGACCTTGGAAGCTGGCTGGGCTTTTGCAAGGTGGACGCAGAACGCTTCCGAACCTTGATCTCGTCCTGCTTGGTTCACGGCATCCCCCCGCATGCCGACATCAAGAAGCTGAAGGACGTCACGGAAAAGCAAGCATCGCAATTCGTCCTGCATCTTTGTTGTAGCAGTCTGAACCAGCATGTTTCTGCAGTGGTAGATGCGGCGATCGCGAGTAGTTGAAGGATCACAGCCGCCTCGTGAACTTCCTGCTTCCCGTGCGGTCGCGCTTCTTGTACCTCTTCCGGAAGCACCAGGCGGACTTCCCAGGGATTGATGGAGAGGCGCTCTTCCTGGCCACGGTCGTACACCCGCTGGACCATTACAACCTGATCACGATGCAAAAAGCTCTGGACCAGGCCAGGGGCTTGCCAAGTTCACGATACTCTGCAACATCGCATGTTATCGTCAGCACACTGCTGCCTGCGGACTTTGTTCTTGGGTTCCTAGCCTCTTCTTGGGCTCGGAAGCTGATGAGCTAAGGGGACGCTCAAGGAGGGTTATGCGGAGGACCTGTTCGTGGTGAGGTCGGCCATCATGCTCCTCGGCATTTTCTGACGAGAACGGTGCCTTCTGAAGGGGCGGGGGGGGAGCTCGGGAACAAACCCAACCTCCACCTTGAAGCGCCTGAGCCCCTCCCTCAACCGTAAACTCTAAACCTAGGATCACGTCGGAGAAGCTCTTTCTGACCTACCTTGTGAACGATTTCAGCTTCTCCGGTTCGTCGCATCCACTCTTCAAGGACACAGCAGAATTGCTTTCGCGAGTGCATTTTGTCACCCTACTTCAGGGAGGTTAGAACCGGAGTGTTGAGAGAACTTTGGGATTTGGGGCCCTAAGCCCTCTCAGCCGTGCGTCTCGCCGTTCCAGGATACCTACGACTTTGCCAAGCAGCGTGACCAACGGTTTGCTGATGAGATGGAGTGCTGCGTCCTGCGTTAGTCGCTTTGCGGGGCTTTGCGAGCCGCGGTCCGAGCGCCCGGAGGGTGGAGGGGGGTCGCAGCTGCGACGCCGGCGTCTGGCCGGTGTTTCCCAACGTGGACTTTTCCCTGGAGATCCGTAGTTATGTCCCTCTGCTTGAGGGAATTCAGAGCACGAACCATCGCCACAGCGGTCCTTCATAAGTTAGGCCTTGCAATCGCCTTGCAGAACTATACCGCGGATCGCCCAGATTTCCTGAATATCCACTCGGTCCGGCAGTGTCCTTCTCCAATCCCACAAGTTTTTTGAGCATGGAAAATTGATGTGCCGCGGCCGCAATGCCGGGCAATCGTAGCTGGCCTGAACTTCGGATGGCATCCGATGGCATAGTTACTATATGTTACAATATGGCCAGATACTGAAGTGCAGCATCACCTGCTCAGCAAAACGACTTTGTGGATGCAGACATGCATTCAGGGTCGTCTGTTCCTTTTGTTCCATCTGCTTATATCTGCTTAGAAGCAGAGCTGTTCGTCGGCTCCTGTGTTCTGAAGGAGTTTCCGTGAATTCGCCGCTAGCTCCTGTTCAGATGCACCGAGAGTCTAGTGCCTGTGGCGAGACGTTGTGGCCGGCAGCCCGACAATCGCAGTGGCTTAGCGCGTGCCCCTCAAAGCTGTGAGTGCCTTGCGCGCCTCTCGGACTTGCTCGGGTGGCTCCGCAGCATTTTTTCGGTTCACGTTGGCCTGCCTCCGCAGTCGCTCAGTATCCTCAGAGCTATGACCAACGGTGCAGAAGCCAAGCAGGCAGGGGTCTTAGGGCACTCCCCATCGCGTGGAATGTTCAGACATGTTCAGATCTGTGTCCAAAGAACGTTGGGAAAAGGGCAGGGTTAACTTTGTTCCCCTTCTTAAGATGGAGGCGCTGGCTCGAGGGAGCCACGCGATCCTGCGTGACAAGGCAAACGATCTGGGCCATGAAGGTGGCAACGTCAAACTTCGTGTTGAGCAAGCCCGCAACCGCGACGCCGCCGCCTACTCCTTCATGCGACACCTTCATCAGGTGTCGGTGTCCGAGATCGTGGAAGTTCTGGAACAATGTTGGAAGCACCTGGTGAAGGACATCCGCTCTGAGCATGCTCCTAGTCGGTCGTTGAACACGTGTGTTGCTCTTTCGGAAGTGCCTGTCTGCTCGAACATCTGCTTGACAAAAAACCCCCGGACTTTCCAAAGATAATTTAGAAAAGGTTGCCCTTCTGTGCTTCTACCTCCTCAACGTCTTCGCCTTCATGCTCGTCGAGTGGTGGCGGCTTTCCATCGTCTGGGCGATGCGTCCCTGGTTCGTGTTCCTCGTTTGGTACACCTGGGACGCCGTCTGCTGCTGGAAGGCCGTCATGCGCCGACGCCTCCGGCGCTCCGAGCCCGGCAGCCCCTCAAACAAGCATCGCCCAGAGCAGGGGCTCCGAGCCCGCAGCAGTCTTGGCCTACCCCAAGAGGAGGAGATCGAGAATCTGTCTGACTTGCTTGCAGCAAACAAGGACGGTGAACATGCCAAGGATCCCGACTCCCCCAGGAAGTTGCAGAAGAGGCGCGCAGCCGCGTCAGGTGTCTTGCCGCAAGTCAACGGCGACGGGAGTTTGGAGGAAGACATTGCTCCCTTCTTGGACATGGACCACGTTCACCTCACCTTTTGGTTCTTCCTATGGGGCCGCATCTTCATTGGCTTGGGCGCATGGGCCAGCATGATCTTCGGCGGCAAGGACACTCCGGGCATCCTGCGCTATGGGCTGAGGCGGGTCTTCAACGACCTCGGTGTTTGGCCGCATCACGTCAAGAATGCCAGGAGTTTGGCTGCAGAACTTCTCTTGGAGACCACTCTTTCCATCTACGTGCGCGAGGTGGAAACGACAGGCAGCCTGACCGTTGCTCGCTTTGCCATTCCGGACGTCCCACACTACACTCAGCAAGGCAAGAAGGCTCAGAAAAAAGTTCGTTTGGCCGTAAAGCAGTGCTTCAACGATTAGTCTCTGGCACGATCCCAAACCACTCCATACCTTCTGGAGCGTAGCACCATAGGGCCACAGGGCGTACTGTGCGCTCAGCAAGGCAAGTGCTTGCAGCATGCCGAGCTGTTGGCGGAGGTGGACTTGACGGACAGATCCGACCAAGTCCTCATGCGGGCAGCGTGAACCCAATGTTTCTGTGTTTGTGTTCCTGAGTCAGTTCTTCGCGTTCTTCGTTGCAGCAGGTGGAAGTAGTGGTGCGTGTAAGACTCGTTGATTCATGTATTCCCTATCCCCCTGGGTATCCCAGGCAACCTATGGGGGGGCAGCCATCCGGGCAGACGAGGCCCTGCTGATGCTTCGATTTTTTCAGTCTGAGGTGAGGGAATATGGGAATGAGGGGTTGAAAGGGCGTAGGCTACGTAGGCTTGCAAGTTTCGGAGATTTCGGGAGCTTCAGGTTTATGGGGTTGCCAAGTCCTCCTAGAAAGCCAGGCAGTCATCTTGCTCAACATGGCATGCTGCTACTTGGTGCACCCGATGCTGCAACTTGAGCGGATAGCAGACTTTCTCTTTCTGGGTTACCTCGTGCAGTTTACACCTAGATTTGTCGTTTAACGCCGTTCCTTTCATATTGATGATGAACCAAGCATGAACTGTCCGCTTCGGCTGCTTCAGGCTCGCGGGCCACAGAGGAGTATGAGACCCGAAAACGGGTTTACCAGCGAACCCAGGAAGCTTGCGCCGCAGTCGGCCTGCAGTTTGTGCCGCTTATTGCCGAGGCCTGCGGGGGGGGATGGGGCCCGGCTGCCATGCAGACGTGGGAGACATTGGCGGAAGCCTTGGCCACCCGCACGGGCGAAACTGCAGCGGCCGAGAAGGTCAAACTGTTGCAGGCCTTGAGCATCACTCTGCAGCGCGAGAACGCGCGTGCGGTGGTGCGCAGGGCAGGTTGGGACCCGGCTGCCGCCACCGCAGCACTCGACCAGCCGTGACGTGTCGCTGTTCGCTCTCGGGTCGCGCCTGGATGTTCTGACATCTGCCCAGGGGGGAATCGACATTGGGACAGGTTTGCAGGTCCGGCTGCGCTCTCTGCCCCACTCATGTGCAGAATACTTTTCTGACTATCCTGTTGCAATTTTGCTCGCGCACCGCCCTCAGAAGTAGGAGTGCTCGTGAGCCTCTCCTGTTTGCATTTTGCTCACGCAACGCCCTCAGAAGTAGGAGTGCTTGTGAGCCTCCCCTGTTTCGCTCGCGCACCGCCCTCAGAAGTAGGAGTGGTTCAGAGCTGCAGTGGTGTACTGCAACAAATGCAAGGAGCTGTGTAGCAAATGTATGAACAATGTTGTGTACACCATTCGCACATCTACGATTCATCGCATGTAATTTTCTCTAGGTACTTGCACAGGGCAAAAAAAACCTAAGGCATGCCTTCAGCAACTGGGCTGCCAACCCAGAGAGTCCAGACCCGACCATTCGGAAGTATTCCATTGGCACCATCCTGTACAACTACTACGGCGTGAATGCCTTTGCGAACTGGTGTGACCTTGGAAGCTGGCTGGGCTTTTGCAATGTGGACGCAGAATGCTTCCGAACCTTGATCTCGTCCTGCTTGGTTCACGGCATCCCCCCGCATGCCGACATCAAGAAGCTGAAGGACGTCACGGAAAAGCAAGCATCGCAATTCGTCCTGCATCTTTGTTGTAGCAGTCTGAACCATGTTTCTGCAGTGGTAGATGCGGCGATCGCGAGTAGTTGAAGGATCACAGCCGCCTCGTGAACTTCCTGCTTCCCGTGCGGTCGCGCTTCTTGTACCTCTTCCGGAAGCACCAGGCGGACTTCCCAGGGATTGATGGAGAGGCGCTCTTCCTGGCCACGGTCGTACACCCGCTGGACCATTACAACCTGATCACGATGCAAAAAGCTCTGGACCAGGCCAGGGGCTTGCCAAGTTCACGATACTCTGCAACATCGCATGTTATCGTCAGCACACTGCTGCCTGCGGACTTTGTTCTTGGGTTCCTAGCCTCTTCTTGGGCTCGGAAGCTGATGAGCTAAGGGGACGCTCAAGGAGGGTTATGCGGAGGACCTGTTCGTGGTGAGGTCGGCCATCATGCTCCTCGGCATTTTCTGACGAGAACGGTGCCTTCTGAAGGGGCGGGGGGGGAGCTCGGGAACAAACCCAACCTCCACCTTGAAGCGCCTGAGCCCCTCCCTCAACCGTAAACTCTAAACCTAGGATCACGTCGGAGAAGCTCTTTCTGACCTACCTTGTGAACGATTTCAGCTTCTCCGGTTCGTCGCATCCACTCTTCAAGGACACAGCAGAATTGCTTTCGCGAGTGCATTTTGTCACCTACTTTAGGGAGGTTAGAACCGGAGTGTTGAGAGAACTTTGGGATTTGGGGCCTAAGCCCTCTCAGCCGTGCGTCTCGCCGTTCCAGGATACCTACGACTTTGCCAAGCAGCGTGACCAACGGTTTGCTGATGAGATGGAGTGCTGCGTCCTGCGTTAGTCGCTTTGCGGGGCTTTGCGAGCCGCGGTCCGAGCGCCCGGAGGGTGGAGGGGGGTCGCAGCTGCGACGCCGGCGTCTGGCCGGTGTTTCCCAACGTGGACTTTTCCCTGGAGATCCGTAGTTATGTCCCTCTGCTTGAGGGAATTCAGAGCACGAACCATCGCCACGGCGGTCCTTCATAAGTTAGGCCTTGCAATCGCCTTGCAGAACTATACCGCGGATCGCCCAGATTTCCTGAATATCCACTCGGTCCGGCAGTGTCCTTCTCCAATCCCACAAGTTTCTTGAGCATGGAAAATTGATGTGCCGCGGCCGTAACGCCGGGCAATCAGAGCTGGCCTGAACTTCGGATGGCATCCGATGGCATAGTTACTATATGTTACCATATGGCCAGATACTGAAGTGCAGCATCACCTGCTCAGCAAAACGACTTTGTGGATGCAGACATGCATTCAGGGTCGTCTGTTCCTTTTGTTCCATCTGCTTATATCTGCTTGCAGAAGCAGTGCTGTTCGTCGGCTCCTCTGTTCCGAAGGAGTTTCCGTGAATTCGCCGCTAGCCGTACTTCCAGTAGACTCTTGGCTGGTGCCTGGCTGGTGTCCGAAGGGATCCTGTTCAGATGCACCGGGCTGAGAGTCTAGTGACTGTGGTGAGACGTTGTGGCCGGCAGCCCGACAATCGCAGTGGCTTAGCGCGTGCCCCTCAAAGGTGTGAGTGCTTTGCGCGCCTCTCGGACTTGCTTGGGTGGCTCCGCAGCATTTTTTCGGTTCACGTTGGCCTGCCTCCGCAGTCGCTCAGTATCCTCAGAGCTATGACCAACGGTGCAGAAGCCAAGCAGGCAGGGGTCTTAGGGCACTCCCCATCGCGTGGAATGTTCAGACATGTTCAGATCTGTGTCCAAAGAACGTTGGGAAAAGGGCAGGGTTAACTTTGTTCCCCTTCTTAAGATGGAGGCGCTGGCTCGAGGGAGCCACGCGATCCTGCGTGACAAGGCAAACGATCTGGGCCATGAAGGTGGCAACGTCAAACTTCGTGTTGAGCAAGCCCGCAACCGCGACGCCGCCGCCTACTCCTTCATGCGACACCTTCATCAGGTGTCGGTGTCCGAGATCGTGGAAGTTCTGGAACAATGTTGGAAGCACCTGGTGAAGGACATCCGCTCTGAGCATGCTCCTCGTCGGTCGTTGGACACGTGTGTTGCTCTTTCGGAAGTGCCTGTCTGCTCGAACATCTGCTTGACAAAAATCCCCGGACTTTCCAAAGATAATTTAGAAAAGGTTGCCCTTCTGTGCTTCTACCTCCTCAACGTCTTCGCCTTCATGCTCGTCGAGTGGTGGCGGTTTTCCATCGTCTGGGCGATGCGTCCCTGGTTCGTGTTCCTCGTTTGGTACACCTGGGACGCCGTCTGCTGCTGGAAGGCCGTCATGCGCCGACGCCTCCGGCGCTCCGAGCCCGGCAGCCCCTCAAACAAGCATCGCCCAGAGCAGGGGCTCCGAGCCCGCAGCAGTCTTGGCCTACCCCAGGAGGAGGAGATCGAGAATCTGTCTGACTTGCTTGCAGCAAACAAGGACGGTGAACATGCCAAGGATCCCGACTCCCCCAGGAAGTTGCAGAAGAGGCGCGCAGCCGCGTCAGGTGTCTTGCCGCAAGTCAACGGCGACGGGAGTTTGGAGGAAGACATTGCTCCCTTCTTGGACATGGACCACGTTCACCTCACCTTTTGGTTCTTCCTATGGGGCCGCATCTTCATTGGCTTGGGTGCATGGGCCAGCATGATCTTCGGCGGCAAGGACACTCCGGGCATCCTGCGCTATGGGCTGAGGCGGGTCTTCAACGACCTCGGTGTTTGGCCGCATCACGTCAAGAATGCCAGGAGTTTGGCTGCAGAACTTCTCTTGGAGACCACTCTTTCCATCTACGTGCGCGAGGTGGAAACGACAGGCAGCATGACCGTTGCTCGCTTTGCCATTCCGGACGTCCCACACTACACTCAGCAAGGCAAGAAGGCTCAGAAAAAAGTTCGTTTGGCCGTAAAGCAGTGCTTCAACGATTAGTCTCTGGCACTATCCCAAACCACTCCATACCTTCTGGAGCGTAGCACCATAGGGCCACAGGGCGTACTGTGCGCTCAGCAAGGCAAGTGCTTGCAGCATGCCGAGCTGTTGGCGGAGGTGGACTTGACGGACAGATCCGACCAAGTCCTCATGCGGGCAGCGTGAACCCAATGTTTCAGTGTTTGTGTTCCTGAGTCAGTTCTTCGCGTTCTTCGTTGCAGCAGGTGGAAGTAGTGGTGCGTGTAAGACTCGTTGATTCATGTATTCCCTATCCCCCCGGGTATCCCAGGCAACCTATGGGGGGGCAGCCATCCGGGCAGACGAGGCCCTGCTGATGCTTCGATTTTTTCAGTCTGAGGTGAGGGAATATGGGAATGAGGGGTTGAAAGGGCGTAGGCTACGTAGGCTTGCAAGTTTCGGAGATTTCGGGAGCTTCAGGTTTATGGGGTTGCCAAGTCCTCCTAGAAAGCCAGGCAGTCATCTTGCTCAACATGGCATGCTGCTACTTGGTGCACCCGATGCTGCAACTTGAGCGGATAGCAGACTTTCTCTTTCTGGGTTACCTCGTGCAGTTTACACCTAGATTTGTCGTTTAACGCCGTTCCTTTCATATTGATGATGAACCAAGCATGAACAATGTTGTGTACACCATTCGCACATCTACGATTCATCGCATGTAATTTTCTCTAGGTACTTGCACAGGGCAAAAAAACCTAAGGCATGCCTTCAGCAACTGGGCTGCCAACCCAGAGAGTCCAGACCCGACCATTCGGAAGTATTCCATTGGCACCATCCTGTACAACTACTACGGCGTGAATGCCTTTGCGAACTGGTGTGACCTTGGAAGCTGGCTGGGCTTTTGCAAGGTGGACGCAGAACGCTTCCGAACCTTGATCTCGTCCTGCTTGGTTCACGGCATCCCCCCGCATGCCGACATCAAGAAGCTGAAGGACGTCACGGAAAAGCAAGCATCGCAATTCGTCCTGCATCTTTGTTGTAGCAGTCTGAACCAGCATGTTTCTGCAGTGGTAGATGCGGCGATCGCGAGTAGTTGAAGGATCACAGCCGCCTCGTGAACTTCCTGCTTCCCGTGCGGTCGCGCTTCTTGTACCTCTTCCGGAAGCACCAGGCGGACTTCCCAGGGATTGACGGAGAGGCGCTCTTCCTGGCCACGGTCGTACACCCGCTGGACCATTACAACCTGATCACGATGCAAAAAGCTCTGGACCAGGCCAGGGGCTTGCCAAGTTCACGATACTCTGCAACATCGCATGTTATCGTCTGTACACTGCTGCCTGCGGACTTTGTTCTTGGGTTCCTAGCCTCTTCTTGGGCTCGGAAGCTGATGAGCTAAGGGGACGCTCAAGGAGGGTTATGCGGAGGACCTGTTCGTGGTGAGGTCGGCCATCATGCTCCTCGGCATTTTCTGACGAGAACGGTGCCTTCTGAAGGGGCGGGGGGGGAGCTCGGGAACAAACCCAACCTCCACCTTGAAGCGCCTGAGCCCCTCCCTCAACCGTAAACTCTAAACCTAGGATCACGTCGGAGAAGCTCTTTCTGACCTACCTTGTGAACGATTTCAGCTTCTCCGGTTCGTCGCATCCACTCTTCAAGGAGAGGGCCGTTCGGAGTTGGTTTTGTGAGTTTGTTGCGGAGAGTTGAGCTCGAAGCCCCCATCTTTCGTCGTCTCCAGGATACATACGACTTTGCGAAGCAACGTGACCAACGGTTTGCTGATGAGATGGAGTGCTGCGTCTTGCGCTAGTCGCTTTCCGGGGATGTTGCGTGTCGGGGACTACTTTACCGGGTCCGAGACTTTAGCTAGAGTGTTGGCGCGGTGGTGTTGGCCACCGCCCCATAATTTGTAGGTTAGGATCCGCCTCCGTCAATGTAGTCCCTGACACCTGGTCCCCGGCGCCGCTCTACCCGGAGGTTGGAGATGGGTCGCAGCTGCGTTACCGGTGTCTGACCGGTTTTTCCAACGTGGACTTTCCCCTGGGCGGCGTACCTGTGACACATAACTTCTCCAATCCCACAAGTTTCCTGAGCTTTAGAAGAAAATGATGTTCCGCGGCGCTCAACGCCGGCTTACCAAAACTGGCCCAGTGCAGCATCATTTGCTCTGCAAAACGACTATGCAGATGCAGAAATGTAGTCAGGGCCATCTGTTCCGTTTGTTCCATGCCTTCTCCTGTGTTCCAAAGGCAGGACTTCGGAAAACTGTTTCAGTATTCGCATCCTCATTTTTGGGTTAAGTTGCCGAAAAGCCTCTTCTGGCCGCAGCCTTCCAGCAGAGTGGTTGGACAGGCCGCATGAAGAGCCAGCATACTGTAGTTGGAATAGTAGGAAGCCAATGTTGTACACACATTGTAGCTTCATGGGCTCGAGTGCAGAATGATGCTTTGAGAGCTCGTTCTTGCCAGAGGCTCCTGCTTGCAGTTCCATGCGAGCATGCCAAAAAACCGTCTCCTAAACCCTAAACCCTAAACCCTAAACCCTAAACCCTACCCTAAACCCTAAACCCTAAACCTGAAACCCTAAACCCTAAACCCTAAATCTCTGCCGCGTGAACCCGTGCGAGCAGTGTGTTCAGGGGGCGCTTCAGGGTCGCAGAAGGGGCGATGCCCTGGCGCTTCTTGTTGTCTCAGATGGTTGTGGCCCACATGCCTCAGAGCTCAAGAGGCAGAGATCCATTCCGAGATCCAATAACTCTTTGACTCTGGGCCGAGACAGCCAGATGAGTACACTGATACTCCTTTCTCTCAGAAGCCTTACGAAATCCAAGCAGTTTTGGAACCGCGCTGACTCAGGGGCAGTTATCCCAGAAGCTAAGCCCTGAAAACCCCTGAAAACCCCTGAAAACCCCTGAAAACCCCCCCAAAAACCCCGAAAACCCCCGAAACTCCCGAGCCATGGCCGCCGCCAAGCTCGCGGCAGAGCCCGAGCTTGAGATCCTCAGCCTGGCGGGCGAGGAGCTGGGGAGGAAGGGCGCGCAGAGGCTGGGAAGGTCAGGGTATTTTTAGGGTTTAGGGTTTAGGGTTTAGGGTTCAGGGTTTAGGGTTTAGGGTTTAGGGTTCAGGGTTCAGGGTTAAATTAGGTATAGCCCAAAAGCCCGCGGAAGTCCGCCAGCCAGGCCCCAAAATAGCCCGCCAAGTCGCCCGCACCGAAAAGCTCGGGAGAAGCAACTGCTCACTGGTAGCGTTTGTATAAGGCTTAAACCCTAAACCCTAAACCCTAAACCCGAAACCCTAAACCCTAAACCCTAAACCCTAAACCCTAAACCCTAAACCCTAAACCCTCAGAAAACTGGCTCTGGAGCCAGGCTGAGTCGGGCGCTGCTCACCCACGGCGCCCTCCGCGAGCTGGACCTGGCTACCTGTTTCGCGCGTTTTTTTGGGTTTCGGAGTTAGGGTTTGGGGTTTAGGGCCTTTAGGGTTGAGGGTTTAGGGTTTAGGGTCTAGGGTTTAGGGTTTAGGGTTTGGGGTTTGGCCTTGCTTTAGGCTTTGTGGCTTGGTTTTCTTGGTGGCTCTCCCCACTTTGGGTGCGGGGGCTCCTCCTCGGCCCGGTCTTGGGCCCGGTCCAATATCCCTGGAAAGCCCAACCGCAGAGAAGCCCGCAGGGCGGGCGTCCTTGGAGTGCCCAACCCCAGAGAAGCCCGCAAATGTCCCGCCGAGTATCCCTCACCCGCCCACCCCTTCGGAGAATTCCGCGGAGAGTCCCGCGACAGAAGCCTGCAGCGAAGCATCCGTAACTTCCTGTCTGAAAACGGCAGGATGGCACGCATCCGGTAGCTGTAGGGTGGGGATGATGGAGTGAATGAAAACAGCAGAAAGAATCTTATGTATATATATATATATATAGGAGATACAGTAGTATTTGTTTACTCATGTACTGGGGCGTGGGGTTGGCTGGTGGTCGGTTGGAGGGTCCAGGCATTCTTGTCTTGGATGGTTTGAGTTGGGTTTGAGGGCTGGAAGAGGCAGGTGTCTGTATGCAGCATGTGTTGATAATGCGGAGAAGCTCAAAACCTTTGCACGGAGTGGAGGGTGCAAAGCTGCGTGTTCCGAGCCCCAAAATCTCCTTAAGCCCCTGAACCCTAAACCCTCAAGGCCTCTTGCACAAAGTCCCTCACACACTAATTGCTGGAGGCTTGCGGCTGTGTGGGTGATGCCGGCATGGCCTACATCGCGGGGGCCCTGCAGAGGAGCGGCGCCGCCGATGTGTAGGCTTTGTAGGCTCAGACCTTGAAGCCCGAAGATTCACAGGCCCGAACCCTCCACACCAAACCCTAAGCCCTAAACCCTACAACCTAAACCCCAAACCCTACATCCTAAGCCCAAAACCCTGCACCCTGAAGACGTCATGCCGCCTAGAAGATCGATACACCACGTTAGGGATTCCTTGGGGGGCCCTAGACGCTTCAAAGCCCAAAGGAGAGCAAAGCACTACCGCCATAAACTACAAGTTTTGCAGGGCTGAGAGGCTGAGTCTGGAGCTTCTGGGAGTTCTGACCCTGCTAGGGCTCACCATGGTTTGTAGGAACCGTAAACAAACCCTGAATCCTAAACCCCGAACCGCCCTTCCAGGAATTCCACGTTGGAGGCCAGCAGGTTAGATTCGGTTTGGGGTTTTTAGGGTTTACGGTTTTGGGTTACCAAGGGCCCCTGAAAACCAAGTTCTGTGAGCCTTGAATCCTGACATGCCCCAAAGCCTGAGCGCTAAACCTTCACCTTCAATCTTAAGCCCTAGGCCCTAGGCCCTAGGCCCTAAGCCCGAAGCCCTAAGCCCTAAGCCCGAAGCCCGAAGCCCGAAGCCCGAAGCCCTAAGCCCTAAGCCCTAAGCCCTAAGCCCGAAGCCCTAAGCCCTAAGCCCTAAGCCCTAACCTTCATCCCTAACAGCATGAGCCCTAAATCCGTGCGCCTTGTGGGAAAGGCGGTGAGCCTTCGGAACAACTCCATCGGCGCGGATGGCTGCGCCGCGTTAGCAGAGGCGCTTCTCAGTGCGAAGCTCTGTCGCACGTGTCTCATGTTCGGGTTTAAGGGTTTAGGGTTGAGGGTTGAATGGCTCAGCTCTGGGGTTGAGGGTGCAGGCAAAATACTCCATGATAGGACGATGCCTCCAGGATCCTCAGATTCCGTCACCGCCCAGGCCTTGTGGTCTAGATTGTCAGCGGATGCAATCTTGGGGGTTCAAATGGATCGCAACTCCAGCCCGAAAAAAGCATCTGAAGCCCCTTCGCTCGCCCCGAACCCTTAGTCCCTCAAGCCTGTCTGAAACAACATCCCCTCAACCTTTGGGGAGGTTCACAGTAAACCCCATAAACCCAAACAAGGAAAAATCTTATGCAACCGTCCGGAAGTTTAGAAAGCCTTCAGCATCTTCAGGCCATGTGAATGAAAGTCGGATGAGTCATCCCCCTCGCATTCCTATGAATGCGCCCCTTCCCCCCCCCTGAACTTTAAACCAACATCCCGAAACCTTCAAGCTCTTGAGCCGCGCCCGAAACGCCCGAAACCCGCAAGCCCGTAAACCCCTTCGACCCTCCCCCGCATGAGGAACGGCTCGCCCCTTACGGAGCCGCGTCCCCAAGGGAGTGGGCTCACCGCTGAGGGTTTGGAGCATTTAGGCTTTCAGGTTTTTTTATTATTTTTTTTTGGTGGGCTTTTAAGCATGTGAGTTTGTAGGGTGTGGGCCCGTGATGTGGGGGGTTGCGAGAATGGGGACCCCAATATAGACCCCAAATAGTATGCGCTTGAGAAAGAGTTGCTCGCGGTGGGAGATTAGGAGTCTGATCAGTTACCTTTTCGCACAGGGCTCGCCCACACAGCCTGCATCAAAGAGAGTCAAATAGGCACAAAAAGAGCCAACGTCGGGGTTCAGTCGGCATGCGTGGTGGGATTGCAGGCTGAACCTGAGCCACAACCCCCTCGCTGATGGGGGCATCCGGGCCATTGCCAAGGCTAGTGTCACGGGAGAGGGCTCGTTTCTGTGGAGGTGTGGTTGATCTACGTCGTACTACGTCCCCCAACTGGTGTGTCAACACCCAGGGGTTTCGGACAATGGTTTTTCTCGAGGCCAAGTCGCATGTTGGACGGCAAAATCGTATTCACACCCGGGCTCCACACGGTCTCTGTTTGGGGTCCCCGCTGGCACAATATTCTGGGCCTTGTTTTCAGTACTCTAAGCTACAAGTAAGGAATAGACTATACACACTCCAGTGGAGATTCAAAGAGGGCCGAGAATTGGCCGAGAATTAAACTTCAGTGACTCCGTCTCTCACGAATGCGTGGCATCGGCGAACCCCAGCCCTAAGCCCTAAACGCCCAAACCTCAAGCCCCAAGCCATAAAGCAAACGCCCAAAAACCTGAAACCGCACAGGACCCCAAATACTCAAACGATCTCAAACGCCCCAGCAAAAACGCAAAATCCTCGAATGCCCTACTCAAGAGCCAAACCTCAAACCCTTCCGAAGCCTCTAAAAGCCCTAAACCCTAAACCCTGAACCCTAAACCCTAAACCCTAAACCCTAAACCCTAAACCCTAAACCCTAAACCCTAAACCCTAAACCCTAAGGCCCCTGGAGCTCCGAAACGCCGCAGGTCCTGCGTGGCGGGGGCGCTGGCCTCCTTGATTTGGACCTCTCCAGCGCCAGGCCCCGGAGTGGTAGGGTTTAGGGTTTAGGGTTTAGGGTTTAGGGTTTAGGGTTTAGGGTTTAGGGTTTAGGGTTTTTCTGTTCTTTTCTCTGCGGCATCGTCAGGTCCTGCTGAGGGTTACGAAAATAGGGGACCCCTAAAAAATGCTATCCGCCGATCCCAGCTTGAGCGGGGGCGGCCTCAGTGAAGACCCTAAGTCTTTTGTTCACCTTGAAACCCCTACCCCACTCACCTACCAACCCAACCCCACCCCCCGAGCACCAGTACCTTGCCCCCCGCCACCCTCGCCCGCCCCAAACCCAACCCCGACCGCCCTACCCCCTCACTCTGCCTGGAAATGAGGTGGTCCAGTGATTGTGGAAAGTACCGATCCCGCTTTTGGTCCCACGCACAGCTGCTATGGCATATTGCCAAGAGCTGTATTCATGTTGAGTCTGGGTCGGCGGACAGTTTTTGGCCTGGCCTGCTGCGAACCACCGAGTGCACGTGCAGCACAGTTGCATTTGATGCATGGAATTTTGGGCAACGTTGGGGCGACATCTGCAGGTCTGTCAGCGAGGATGCCTGGGTAGACTTCGGATCCGCCCTGGCGGACTGCCGCCTCTTTTCTTATCAAATGCATATTTCGAAGCACTAGGCCCAAAAACCCCAAACCCAAAACCCTAAACCCCAAGCCCCAAACCCTAAACCCTAAACCCTAAGCCCCAAGTTTTGAAGCCAACAGGGCCCCTGAAGGCCCTTAAGCACCTCGAGATTCCCAAGCGGGGGTTTAGGATTTAGGTTGGGTTGGGGGCTTAAGGTTTAGGGTATAGGGTGCGCTTCCCAACACTCTTTTCTTTATCTTGTCTTGCAGTTTCCAGATTGTTGGAAGGAGCTTCTATTTGACCAACCCAAGGAATTTCGCAGTGTCCGAAGCCGAATACAAGGTACCCTTCTCAGGGGACTCTGATTGTTGAACAACCATGCAGCCCCAGTACCTCGAAGAGTTCACCAGCAAAGGGCTTGAGGATGTTGAGGGATGTAGGAACAAAGCAGTCTATGGACTTCTCGAATGAGGTCTTACGTCGCTGAAGCTCCGGCAAAATCCTGCCATCGGTGACCTTGCCGCGGAAGCCTTTGCACAGTCGCTGGCGAGCGGCGGCGACTCGTCTGTGCCGCAGCCTTGTCTGCGCTTGTTCCGAAAGACTAGGTCGTGGCTTCTTGCAGGGAGGCTGCTGATGTTTGACTCAACCTTAAACCATCCTTCAATCAATCGTCGACGCTGGGAAAAAGCCCTCAGCGAAGCCGTAACGCAATAAGTTCCGAAAAAAATCTTCCATCGCACTACTACATACAAAAGGTGGATATTTACTCTTAAGTTCCTTCGTTGTTTATTGAACAAAGAGCGAGCTTGGATCCCAAGCCCTCAACCCTAAGCCCCACCATCCTCAAGCCGAAGCCCCACCATCCTCAACAATGCCACCAGGCTCCCTTTTGCAGCTGGACGTCTCCTTCTGCAGCCTGAGGGGCGGCTGCGCACGGCCCCCCTTCCTTCCCTTATGTGGTGTCAGGGATTGGGGCTTTAGGAGGCTTTTGGCTTCCATCTTGGGCAAGAAGATGTCGCAAGCCAATAAACCCAAGAGCCGTACAAGAAACCTACCTGACACATCCCCATAATTACTTGGCTTTGTGCCATGACGAAGAGCCCAAAACACTCAACCCCCTAAAGCTGACCCCGAACCCGACCTTTCGACGCCTTGCATGACCCTAAACCTCTAAATCCCGAAAACTAAACCCCTAAACCCTTATCCCTAAACCCCTAACCCCTAACCCCTAACCCCTAACCCCTAAACCCTAAACCCTAAACCCTAAACCCTAAACCCTAAACCCTAAACCCTAAACCCTAAACCCTAAACCCTAAACCCTAAACCCTAAACCCCCAAAAGACCCCATTGAGCCCCCCTAAACCCTGGGCCTCAAAGCCGAGGCTTCTCGGGGCGGCGGCCTCGCTGCGTCAGCTGCGGCTCTTTGGCAACGTGGCCGGGCTGGAGACCATTGAGGCCGGGCCTAGTGTGTTTAGGGTTTAGGGTTTAGGGTTTAGGGTTTAGGGTTTAGGGTTTAGGGTTTAGGGTTTAGGGTTTAGGGTTTAGGGCTAAGGGCTTAGGGTCTCGGGTTTGGGGCTTAAGGCTGCTTATGCTATGGTTAGCTGCAGCCGAGGCGCCGGTTGCCTTTAGGAGCTTAGGGCCCCTCCCCAGGCCCTCGGGCAGGCGGGTGAGCAGGGAGCGACCTGGCAGGCAAGAGAGCCCCTGCCCAGCCCAAGGGTTTAGGGTTTAGGGTTTAGGGCTAGGGTTTAGGGTTTAGGGTTTGGGGTTTGGGGTTTGGGGTTTAGGGTTTTGGGTTTAGGGCCGACATCCCGACCCCTCCCCGCCCCTCAGGCTGGCCCCTTACGGTCTTCCAAACCCTTAAACGCCCTACAATGCCCTAAGGCCCGAACACTTGGGATGTTCCCCCTTATACTAACAGTCCTTATTGGGATTCTAGCACCCCTTTTTATGATACCTGTGAAGGATTGTTTGAAAAAGGGGGAACATGGCAACCTACCACCAGAATCCCTAAAACCCTTGGCAGCCCTAAACCCTGAACCCTAAACCCTAAACCCTAAACCCTAAACCCTAAACCCTAAACCCTAAAACCCTAAAACCCTAAACCCTAAACCCTAAAACCCTTGGCAGCCATGGCCGCGGCCTAGGCCCACTTAGAAGACCTGGACCTCTCGCGCTGCCAGCTCGGGGAGGGCGCCTGTCCCTTGGTCTCCTTCTCGGGCTTCTTTTTGTTGTTGGGTTTCAGGGTTTTAGGGTTTGGGGTTTCGGGGTTTTCAGGCAGGCGCTTTGGGGATTTCGGGTTTCAGCGGCTTGGGGCTCTAGAAGTTCTAGAGTGTCGGATTTTAGGGGATCTGGGGTTTAGGCTGTTCAGGCATCGGGTTTCGGGTAAAGGTTTGCGGGTGTTCTCCGGAGCGGGAGGTCTTTCGACGCCTTGAGGGTTTTAGCGTCAGCTTGCCTCTGCTGACACCCTGGACCCCAAACCCGAGTAAGACTTGGTAGAATCAAGCATTGTGACCTTAAACCCTAAGCTAAAACCGCAAGCCCGGCCTCCACCCCAAAAGACCTAAGACCTAAGACCTAGGACCTAAGACCTAAGACCTAAGACCTAAGACCTAAGACCTAAGACCTAAGACCTAAGACCTAAGACCTAAGACCTAAGACCTAAGACCTAAGACCTAAGACCTAAGACCTAAGACCTAAGACCTAAGACCTAAGACCTAAGACCTAAGACCTAAGACTTAAGACCTAAGACCTAAGACCTGAACCCTGAACCCTGAACCCTGAACCCTGAACTCCAAACCCTCAACCCTGAACCCTGAACCCTCAACCCTAAACCCCAAACCCCAAGCCCCAAACCGTAAACCGAAGCCACAAGGCCCATCTTTAGCCGCGGCGCTGCGGCGGGGTTCGTCCGCGGACGCAGCCTTGAGGGAGTTGCACTTGGACCGCCACCTGGCGGGAGGGGTTTGGTTTAGGATTTTGGGTTTTGGGGTTGAGGGTTTAGGAGGGTTTAGGGTTCAGAGGGCCTTTGTTGAAGCCTTTTTTTGGGGGGGGGGGCTGCTGGCGACTTTTTATTTTGTTTGTGTGTGTGGGTGTGTGGGTGTCTAAGGGCTGGAGCAATGGCTTTCAGGCTTCGGGTTTTTCGGGGGCCTCGGGGTTGACCTCGTTATGTTTTGACCCAGGCAACGATTTGGGTGCACAAGGGATCGTGACCCTGGCTGAGGCGCGCGGCTGTCGGGGTGCTCTCGCAGCTTAGGGTTGTGGTTGAGGATTCAAGGATCAGGTCTCAGGCGGCGATGTGCAGAAGGTAGGATGTTGACGACGGGGCTGCAGCCTCCGGTGTGCAGCTAAAGTGTCAGATGCGAAGTTCCATGTGGCGAGACCGCATATAGCGTTCTGTGCATCAGCCCCTCCCGCCACAGAGACCTCCTTCGCAAAGAGGCGCTGGGAGCTGAAAGTCAGCTCAGAGCGTTGACTCTCCGCGAGAACCGCTGCTTGGCTTTGCGGCTTTGCGTGGAGCTGGTTGCTGCATGTTTGATTTTTCGGACCTTGTATGATCAGGAGGACAGGTATTCTGAAGAGAGCCTAATTTGGAACAACACCCCTCTGTGTTTTGCGAGCCGTAAATCCTGATACTCAAGCCCCGCAACCCCAAACCCCGAACTCCAAACCTTGTAGCCGAATCTCGAAGCCCGAATTGTGGCCTATACCGAAGCTCCGCTTGAGGCTGTGGCGATATGGGTGCGGGCGCGATCGCCAAGGCTCAGCACTTGTTATCGTAGAGGTGCAAACATGGACCGGGTTTCTGTGCCAAGAATTGAGCTCTCGAGGTTTCGGGTTTTGGGCAGAAATGCCCTAGCCATCCAAAACCCTAACCGCTCAGCTCAAACAGCCCCGAGGGCATGTCTCCATGATCCCTCTCGTGGTGTCAGCTTCAGAACCCTAAACCTAAACCCTAAACCCTAAACCTTAAACCCTAAACCCTAAACCCTAGGCCCTAAACCCTAAACCCTCAGATTCCTCAGAGGCGCTTGGGCGCAACAGATCCCTCAAAGAGCTTGACTTGGCTGGAAATGAGGCGATCTCCGACTCTGCTGGGCTCGGTCTCAGGGTGTCGGGTTTCGGGTTTAGGGTTTAGGGTTTAGGGTTTTGGGGGTCTCTCACGAGGAATCAAGTTTGAGGTTTCTGCTAGGGTCGAAAGGGTGGAAGGGACTGCCGCTGTTGAGTTGCAGGTGCTCTCTTCTTTTTTCTCCTCGACGAGCTGTTCTAAGATGTCGAAGCTCATGCAGCCCGCCTGGCGGCGATCAGCCTGACAAAGCAGATAATTGCTTATGTTCTCCGAAGAAGAGACGTCTCACAGTCATCACTGTCATCACGAAGAAATCGAGCGGCCAACGGACCATGCGGGACGCCCCGACGCCGACTGAAGCTTCAAGCCTGCCTCACAGCGTTCAAGACCCCCGGCCCAAGTGACCCAAAACCCTAATCCCTATATGCATGAGCTTGTGCGCTGAGGCAAGTTTCCCAGCCGCGCGACGCCCCAAACCTGCCCCAAACACAGAATACCCAAAGAAATCCCAAACCTTAGCTCCTACACCCTAAACCCTACGTGGACCCAACACCCTACACCCTAAACCCTAAGCCCTAAACCCTTGAGCCCTTAAAACCCCCCTCAAAACCCGAGAGCCTTCCAGTAAACTCCAGAAAGTTGGAACATGGTTAAAGGTTGATTAGAGCTGGGATTCCCTTTGGGAACCCTCTTTGGGTATGAGGGTCATGATGTTCCAACTTTTGGGAGCTTACCTTAAAACCTAAACCCTAAACCCTAAACCCTCAACCCTAAACCCTAAACCCTAAACTCCTGAGCCCTTTATTGTGAACCCCCCTCAAAAGCAAAGAGCCTTCGCCCTTGGAAGATCCGCGACGCTGGCGGCCAAAGCCTGGGACTGGCTCTGGCCGCCTCGCCCGGGCCGCGGCTCGTGCTGCTCGCCCTTTGTTTGGAGATTAGGGTCTATAGGGTCTTGGGTTTGGGGCTAGGGAAGTTTAGGGTTGAGGGTTTCGGATTTGAGGTTCAGGGCTTAGGGACTCAAGGGTTTCGTGTTGTGGGCTTCAAGGGCTACGGGCTTGGAAAGGGTCTCGAGCTTACAAGGGCCCAGCCGACGGCAAGCGACGTTTTAGGGTGCTGAGCTTAAAGATCACCGGGCTTCCTTGCTACAAGGCAATTGGGATTTAACCTCCATTTGCCTCGTTCTTAAACTCTGGGACCCGTGCAGCCTTTATGGCCGGTTCTCCGACTAGCAGTTCCTTTCTTGGCTGCCATAAAAAAGAACAGGGGTGTGTTCAGGGTGTTGGTGTGGAGATCCTGCTCGCTGGGGCTTGGCTTCAAGGAAGGCGTAGGGCAAGATTCGCGGCTCAAGCTCAAACTCCCCAGACCGGACCCTGCACCCTAAAAGGCCCTAAACCCTGAACCTGAAACCCTACACCCAACCTGCCATGGGTCCGAGGTTCCTCGGCTTGAAGAACAACAAGATCGGCCGAGACCTCAGCACCGGACCAAAAGCTCCCGGCAGTTCGCAGCAACAGGAGGCGAAGGGTTTAGGGTTTAGGGTTTAGGGTTTAGGGTTTAGGGTTTAGGGTTTAGGGTTTAGGGTTTAGGGTTCAGGGAAAAGTCAGCAGCAGCAACGGTTTAATAAGCAGGAACGATAGCCGGTAGAACCCTACCTGTTATATAATCGTGCAGTGTAAGATACTATACGTGAACTAATGTCTTGCACCCTCACTGAGAATGGGTTTCAAATGCAGCTGAAAACGCACATGGGCCTTTCGCGTCTTCATGGTGGTTCTGGGTTTAGGGTTGAGGGTGTAGGGTTTAGGGTTGAGGGAATCCGAAACCTCGAAACCCGAAACTTCGCAACCTGGGCCGAGGCGACGCAGGACCGCACCCAGAGCCCCCTGGAGTTTCAGCATTCGGGTTTCGGGTTGCCATCGCTTTGGCTGAGTGTGTGGTCCTTTAACAACCCTGCTTCGTATCAACCATTGGGTTTAGGGTTGCGTTTGGGGCAATCTTCCTGACAACGGGATCTGTTGGAGTGTCGCAGGTCTGGGTAGAGGTAAACATCGTTGACGCCAAGAGGAGCTGAGGGTCTGGCGACGGCCGTCGAGAAGAGCGCGTGGATAGAGGCGAGGTTGCCCTGGAACGCTCTTGTGGTGCAGGGCTTCGGGGGCTCATTGGGTGACGTAGGGTCCATGAAGGGGTTTCTAATCTAAGGCTTCAGGTCCATGTTAGGGGCTGTAGGATTCATCTTCCGAGGTGGGGGTGGCCCTTAATCAAGGAACAGCAGTTTTAGCACAGGGATGAGGGCTCAGGGTCCTGAACCCTAAGCCCTTGTTTCCCTAAACCCTAAACCCTAAACCCTAAACCCTAAACCCTAAACCCTAAACCCTAAACCTTGGAGCCTGAGAAATGGAGCAGTTTCGCAGGAGCTGGACCTCAGCAACAACTCCATCGGCATGGTAGGCCGTGGGGGATGCACCTCAATCCCTGACACCCCCAGAGTTCCTAGAACCCCGAATGTGCCCTTGGAGCCAAGTTCAGGGTTTAGGGTTTAGGGTTTAGGGTTTAGGGTTTTAGGGCCAAGCAAGAAGCCCCGACGCCCGAAGCCCGAAGCCAGTGTCTGGGGGAGGTGTCAGCAAGCTCTGCACAGCATTGGAGAGCAATACCTCCCTTTGCTCCCTGGCGCTGGCTGGGAACGAGGCGCCGGCCCTGAAACAACAGCGCCCTGATCAAGTTGTTGCGGGCCATCACACTATCATGGGCATGTGACGGGCGACTGCAGAGTGTACGGTTGGTACAGGATTTAGGGTGTCGGGTGTAGGGTTTGGGGTGCAGGGTTTGGGGTTTAGGCTTAAGTCCAAAGTTTTCACGGGAGCCCCCCTACGGCTCCTGAGGAAGCTCAGCAAGCGAAACCCGACCAATGCCCCGCGGGCAGGCGGACGATGATGTCATCGCCGGCGTGGAGGCTCCCGAGCCCTAAGGGGTTTAGGGTTGAGGGTTTAGAAACTCCCTATGAAACCCAAAGCGCCCGAAACGGTGTCAGGGGTTTAGGGTTGAGGTTTAGAGTTTAGGGCTATCAAGCGGTGGCTTGGAGGCGCTGGCGGCAGATGTCGCCACGCGGCGCGAAAGGCACGGGGTGTCGGTCCCTCAAAAGCCCAGCCCTCTCCCCTCCAAAAGGTCACCCCATAAGGTATCCCCCCCAAACGCCACAAACCCCGAAAGCCCAACTTCGAAACCCTACCCGACACCCACCCTGAGCCCTAAATGGGAGTTTCCCAAGTTAGGGGTACCTTATTGGCATCCTTATTCTTTGGGGGGTCTATTTGGGGGTCCCCTATTTCGTAAAACCCCAAATCCCAACCCTAAACCCTAAACCCTAAACCCTAAACCCTAAACCCTAAACCCCAAACCCCAAACCCCAAACCCCAAACCCTAAACCCTAAACCCCAAACCCCAAACCCCAAACCCTAAACCCTAAACCCTAAACCCAAGCCCTCCCTAAGCCAGGCAGCCCGCGCAGGCGCGCGTCACTTTCGCGGCGCTGCCCGCGGCAGGTGCTGGTGGTGGCGGCGGGTCGAGCTCTGAGGCCGGCTGAGGGTTTCGGAGGTTTGGGGTTTAGGGTTTGGGGTTTGGGGTTTAGGGTTAGGGGTTTAGGGTTTAGGGTTAGGGGTTAGGGTTTTAGGGTTTGGGGTTTAAAGTTCGGGTTTCGGGTGTCGGGTTTTGGGGTTAGGGTTTGGGGTTCGGTGGAGGTTTAGGATTTGGGTCTGGGTTTGGGGTTAGTCTGAAAAAAATTCTAAAGCCCTATGGGCCCTCATCCCTATGTCACCCCTTTTGCACCTGATCCCCTGACCCAAATTGGGGGGTTTTACATGGGCCAAGCGCCAGGGCAGCAGCCCAGCGAGCTCCGCCTCCTCCTCGCCCTCGCCCTCGCCCTCGCCCTCGCACCGTGCGCAGGAGCCGAGGCACTGGAGCTCCAGGGACGGGGGGCTGCGCGTTTTTTGGGGGCTTGCTGGGTGCTTTAGCTGTTTGTGGTCTTCGGGATTTTGGGGGCTCATGCTCGACACTCCTCTCAAAAGGCAACGCTCCATGATCACCTGTGCCAAGTTTGAAGGCGAGAAGGGCCGCCGCTACCAAGCCCCACTGTGCGTGGGGCCCCTGAGGCAACAAATTTGTTGTATTCATGGGACTTGAAGGTTTCGGGCTTGCAAGGAACGCCGGGAACTTGAGTTCGGGGCTCGTAGTAGAGGAGCCCGTTTCCCCTTAGACATGGGTCTGAACTTAGGGGTAGCGTACTGGAGTCCTTATTACCAGGGAGTGCTGCTACATGGGGTCTGTATTTCGGGGTCCCTTACTTTCGTAAACTCCCACATCGTTCCGGCAGAAAGCATGCACGAGTCCCTGCCACGCTCACCAAGATGTGCGTGGGACTTCGGCAATCAAGACCACGGAATGCACACGTAGGGCTGCGACGCTGCAAGAGCCCGTAGGCCTTTTTGATGTGATACGCAACGAGTCCGCGTTCCTTCTTACTTTCTGGCACATGTGTAGCTTGTATAGGGCCTGCGTCTACTACATGCCCCTCCCTCACTTTGGAAACCGGAATGAACCTACCCCACCTGTTGAATGTTTCTGCTGTTTCGGGGTTTAGGATTGCAGGGGGCCCCGTCTCAAGCGCCAGGAAGAGCATCTGGACGACATGGTGCAGCTGGTGGATAACTTTGTCCAGCGCCTCTTGGCCACTCCTTGCGGGGGTGTAGCGGTTGGAAAGGGAATCCCCTGATGCTTAGGGCATCGCCGCACTTGGAACTAAATCCAGCAACGCATGCTGATGGGAAGAGGCTTTCATCCTCCCTCATGCCAGTCAGGAGTGGCCCGACACACACACACAACACGGCCACCGAAAACACAAGCACAGAGTCACAACGACAACAGCAACAACAACAGCAATAACCAACACAGCCCAAAGCCCAAAGCCCTAAAAACGCATGACGCCCGAAGCCAAGGCTTCATGCAGCCTTCGGACGGCCAGGGCTCGAAAGCAGAGCCGAAGGTGCTTTGGGGTTGCATGGCTGAGCTTTTGGAGGTTCTCTAGAGAGGTTTTCAGCAACATGTCATAGGGGCCCCCAAAAAACCACATAAACGTACGGATCCTACAAACAGGGCTTTTCGGAATCCGCCTTATAGGGGCCCTTATACCCCTAATGGTAGGATCCTTATGTTTATGTGGTTGTTTTGGGCCCCTACATGAGCACGATCAGAAAACGAGGAAGCGATAAACCTGCAAAGGTCGAGGCGTGAGCGGAGTGCCAGCGGTGGTGGATTCTTTCAATTCAAGATGCCGTCTGTCGAGACACCTTGCACCCTAAGCCGGCAACCTTAAACTAAAAACTCCTTAAGCCCCAAGCCCTAAACCTTAGGCCCCAAGCCCTAACCTTAAACCCTAAGCCCTGAGCTCTGCGTCCTGAACCTTAAATTCCCTTTCAACCCCGAGCCGAAAAACGAAAACCCCACTGGCTGTGAGGCGCTTGCCTCCCGGCCCCCTCTTGCATACAAGGCCGCAGCGCGTAGATTCGGGGTTTTCGATGTGGGTTTCGGGATTCAGGGTTTAGGAGTTGAGGAGTTTAGGGTTTATTGTGGATGGAGGGGTTAGGGGTTTAGGTTTTGGGGTTGATGGGCTTTTCTGCTTTGGGGTGTAGGCTTCTGTTGTCAGGGGCTTCCGGGCTTCGCGGTTTTTGAACTTTGGTGGTTTGGGGCCCTTGGGCTTGGGGCTTGTGGGGCTTGTTTTCCGGTTTTGGAGCACGGGCATCCCAAACTAGCCTGAACTCCCCCGAAACCTACACACCCTAAACCCTAAACCCTAAACCCTAAACCCTAAACCCTAAACCCTAAACCCTAAACCCTAAACCCTAAACCCTAAACCCTAAACCATAAACCCTAAACCCTAAACCCTAAACCCTAAACCCTAAACCCTAAACCCTAAACCCTAAACCCTAAACCCTAAACCACAACGCACTCTGCAGGTTGGGTCGCACCTCCGCAACTGGGAGGGGTCCAGCAGCCCCTGGGTCATGCCAGAAGGCCTTCTAGGTCACGCTCTTCTTGAGGGTGTCTCAACACCCCTAAGCCCTAAGCCCTAAGCCCTAAGCCCTAAGCCCTAAGCCCTAAGCCCTCGGTCCTTAGCCCTAAGCCCTATAGGGCTAGGGTTTAGGGTTTAGGGTTTAGGGTTTAGGGTTTAGGGTTTAGGGTTTAGCCTAAACCGTTTAGGGTTTAGGGTTTACTAGGGTTTCGAGCTCCAAGCCTCCCAGCCGGCCCAGGCGACGGCCCAGGTGCGCCTGAAGCCTTTGGTGGTCGGCCCAGCAGTGCGCAGAGGCGCGAAGTCCTGTGATGCAGATCCTACGAATTGCTCAAGAACCCGCTTAGTTATTATTGTTGTTAGTATGATGATTCTTATGAACTATGAGAAGAATATTCTTCCTTATTAAGGGGAATATCGGGATTATGAGTTTCTTTTAATTCTTTTGGGGTTCTTAAGCAAAGAGTAGGATCGCGTCGATGCTGCATGTCAGGTTTTGGGATTAGGCCGGGGCATGGGTCGAACAGGTTTTTCAGGGTTCAGAGGGCTCAGAGAGTTCGTAGGGTTTAGGGCTGGGGGTTTAGGGTCCCCTGAGTGCAAATCGCAAGAGTGTGTGGTTTCTCTCACAACATGCGGCACGCCCATGGCATGTGTGTCAAGCTTCAGCGGCCGAAGTGGTTCGGATCAAGTGATTCAGCCAGCCTACTATGCTTTAGCCATAAGCTTTACGGCGGCCGTGGAAACCAACACGGCGCAGCCATGTTCCGCTTGGGCTTTCTGCAGGGCATCATCTTCGCCCTGCTGGCCCCCATCATCGCAGAGAAGGGAACGGAACTGGATGCCCAGCTGCTTCAGGGGCCCTCTTTTTGGGAGCATCAGGCGGATCTACAGCATAAGTCAGAATCATAAGAACAAAGCATTCATAATCATGATTAAGCATTCAGAATCAAAATCATGATTAAGTATTTTGTCCGTAGCCATGAGTGTTGGACGCCGTTTCGTAGTCACCACCAAGGAGGACTCTTTGCTGGAGGCCCTGGGCCAGGAGATCGACAGCGAGGACTGCAGCCTGCTCAACGACGGCCCAAGCTGCCGCTCGGGCTTTCAAGACATTCTTTTGTGTGTTTGTTTTTTGAGTTGTAATCCTCCTTGCAAGGGGGGTTGCCAAGAGAGAGCCGCCAGTTTTTTTTTTTTTTTGGGGGGGGGAGTCTTTCTCAGAGGGCGACAAGAAGGGCCAGCCGAGGCCAGGCCTCCGCGTTCCTGCAGACGGGCGCGGCCCTTCACTGGTCGGAGTCGCCGCAGCTCCGGGCCGAGCTGCGCCGCGAGGAGCACGAGGACTCGGCCTTGTCCTTCCTGCAGGAGGAGACGGTCATGGAGACCGCTGTCGGGGAGGTGCACCGCAGCAATGTGGCCGAAGAGGTGGCCGAGTCACGGAGCCAGAAAGTGGGGGAGGTGCATGCCGATCGGTCACAGCTGCGGCAGTGGCAGGAGGACGGCGTGGAGGTGTATTCCATGTCACAGGCTGCCCCCTCCGTCAGCAGCTTCGCCTCCGAAGCAAAGGAGGCCTTGCACAGTCTAGGAGTTCACCCAGTGAAGGGCATGAAGGGCATCACCGGCTTCTCCGTTCTCTGGGTTCTTCTGCTGGTTGTCATCAGCATGACCTCCATGGCCGCAATGCTCTACTGGGGTCCTTGGAAGCTTGATGAACAAGGCCCTCAGTGGCTGCCGGAAGCCTTGTCACAGGACCTTGTGGCACGCGAGGCGAAGGACACGAAGGCTGCCAAGGCACCAGAGTTAGAGGAGGGCGACTGTCCAGCCCATGCCGAGCCAAAGAGCGAGCTTGGGAGCCGAGAGCAGCAACAGGAGCAGGATCAGCAGGTGCAGGACCGCTTCGAGCAGCTGGTGCGGGAGGCGGCCGTGTGCGGTGAGGCGAATTTGGAGCAGGTCCTTCCCTCCGCTGCAGGCTACGACTGCGCTCTCTCCAAGCCGGTGAGCAGCGGACGCCCCGTGAAGCTGCTCTGCCGCATCGAGGGGCCTCTGCCCGGTGGCCCGCCCCCCCTGGGCCTGCTCCGAGCACCGCTGAGCCAGCGCAGCTGCGTCTGCTTCACGGCCGTGGCCGAGGGCGCCGCGCCTCGGAAGGCTGCCGAGGGCGTGGACTTCCAAGTCTCTCTGGTTGGCGCGCCCTGGATCCGCATCGATGTGCAGGGACACGAGGTGAAGCTTTTGGACACGCCGGAGAACGCCTACACACCCTACCAAGCCTTCGGCGACCTCCCCAAACACTGGAAGAATTTTGTGTCCCCAGAGCGTGACTCCAAACTCTTTGGCCTGCCCCAGTCGCTACAGCCACCGCAGCCACCCGCCTCCGCACACCTGGAGGGGCAGCCTTTTCGCTTCCGCGAGGCGCGGCGTGGCATAGTGCAGATCTAGTGCAGCATAGTGCAGAGCTAGAGGATTCGAGGGTTCTGATAGGGATCCCTTGCGACTAACAGCGCTGATCGGGTTCCGAGTTCGTGTGATGTGCTAGCCTTTGCATCTGAGTCAGTTCCTTCCGATCCCCCCGCTTGCCCGCAGGACGTTCTCCAGGTGGGTTCCGAGGTGGTGCTCTGTGGCGAGCTGATCCGGGACTCAAGTGGCCGAATCTTCCTCCAGCCTTGGCAGTGGGCTGCACCCGACGGCTCTGACTCTTGGCGCACCTCCTGGGAACTGGATGGATGCGTGGACCTGAGGCCTCATGTCCTGGCCACCACGGACAGTGCCTTGATGGAGAGCCAAGAGGCGCCACCAGTGGCAGCAAGCTACTTTGACGAGTTTGCGGTGATGGTCCCTTGAATCCATAGCAGGTCCCAGACGTGTTTCACGGATGTGTGTGCCCGCATCCCTGCCACGGGCAAGTGGACCCGTGTCGTGGTACGTCCCGTAGAAAAAGGAAGAAATGCCCAGACTCAGCTCGGTGCCTCGTCACTGCCATGTTTCAGCTGTGGGACATCGGTTCTTGTCGGGGAAGCCTGGCTTGTGGCGCATCTTGCAGGGTTGTTCATCCCCGAGCGTCGATAGAATGCGCGCATGGGGGGCTGTTATAAAGCCGGCCCCCTTCTTGTGTGACATCACAGGTACACGTACGAGGTACGTACAAGGAGACGGAAACCCTCTAAGCACCCCTCACATCCCCAAGCCGCTGGTGCCCTCCGATCCAGGATGGTCCAAGCAGGCGATGCACAGGACCTTCGTCGGAGCGCATCCGAGGGCGGGTTAAAATTGCGCTGAGTGAGGCCCTGGCTGAGGCTCCGGCTTCGGGTTATCTAGGATTGCTTGATAAACCCTAAGCTCGAATTCCAACCCCTGAACCTACAGCTGCATTTCCAAGCGGTTCTGGTTTGTGGTTTTTGGGCCGAGGTGGACAGGTTCGTTTCTTGGTATGGCCCCTTGTGTAAGTTGCACGGGTTCTTCCGTTGTGGTAGTTCTTGGGATTCAGGTGTGTCTGGCGATCCGCGGGTCCCGGAACACCCCAGCCTCAACGCACTGAACCTCCGTATTGCCCCGCAGCATCTCTCTCTCATGGCCGCGGGGAATCCCTCTCCGCCTCCCTGCACGATTAGCCGGGACGATCTGCGGCAACTAGCTGCCATGGACGAGGTGGCCAGCTCGGTTGCAGTTTCAACCCTGAACATCCCTAAGCCCTGAACTCCAGACCCTCGCGCTACGTAGGCAGCATCGTTGGACGCTCCGGAGGAGGCGTCGTGCGAGCGGCATGAGGCGGGAGGATGCAAAGCTGGTGCATGTTTCCTGTGAACGGCCATCTACAATTTGGACTTGGAGGTTTAAGGGAGAAGTTGGCTTTTGTTATCAGTTTTCGTCGTTGTGTTCTCTCTCAGTCTCTCTCTCTCTCTCTCTCTCGTCTTTTTTCGGCTGCTACCCAATACAGCATACTCAGCTGCATCTTGTTTAAATTCCATGAAATCCTGACATATCCTGACAGATGCTGCTGGAGAAGATGGCGTCGGATCCTGCACCGGAGCGGCTTTCCTTGCTGAGCTGCCCCGAAGACACTGGTGCAGAGATTGGTGGGGAGAGTTCAAGGTTTTGTGATTTCCGGGGCTTGGGGTTTAAGAGGCTCAGGTCTTGTCGCCGAACATGAGTTCATCACCTGGCGTGAGAGATCTATATATCAATATATCAGTATATCTATATAGCTATATATCTATATATCAATATATCCATATATCTATATATCTATATATCCATATACTTATATATCTATGTATCTATATATCTATATATCTATATATCTATATATCTATATATATATATCTATATATCTATATATCTATATATCTATATATCTATATATCTATATATCTATATATCTATATATCTGTATATCTGTATATCTATATATCTGTATATGTATATATGTAGCATTAAGAACGGCCTAGAGCTTGGCAGAGGGGGCGCTGAAACTCTTATTTCTGGAGCCCAGAGCAAGGTCTGATCGCTAAACCCTAAACCCTAAACCCTGAACCCTGAACCCTGAACCCTGAACCCTGAACCCTAAACCCTATAACCCCCAAACCCCATGGCCCGGAAATCCTTGAAGGCCCTAAACCCTAACCCTCTTTTCACATCATCAACCCTCTTTTTAATGGAGGTTTTTTTTTTAAAGGTTCCGGCTCGATCCGCACTTGCAGATGCAGTTGCCACCAGACTCGGCCAAGGATTCCCGGCCGGCCACGATCCAGGCCACCGGGGGCCAAGATGTGGTCTGCTGTGAGAGGGCGTGGGTACTCGCTTTGCAATTCGGGCCTTGGTTGACCCCAAGGACTGCAAGCGCGGGTCCGTTTGTAAAGCGCAGTAGAGTCTTGGAGTCAAGTCCTCCTCGGATGGTCATTTAGGGGCAGAAGGCCTGGACCCTAAACCCTTAAACCCTAGGGGTGCATGATTGTGGGGCCCCACCCTAGAAGCCCTAACCCCTAGGCCCTAAGCCCTAAGCCCTAAACCCTAAGCCCTCAGCCAAGCCTTGCTTCCTTGCAGGCCGCGCCCAAGGTCCTTCCGCCCAGGGCAAAGCGGAAAGTGATCGAGCCTCGCCCTCTTCACTTTTTTGGGGCCCTAAACCCTTAAACCCTAACCCGAAACCCTAAAACCTAAACCCTAAACCCTAAACCCCTTTCGGGGGCCTTTTTGGGGACTACTTTGGCAGTTGGGAGTCTGGGCTTCGGCCTTCTGCGAACCTGACCGGCCTGAACTTTGACTCTTCAGCCCGGGCTGTTGAGGAGCTGAAGTTAAGAGGTCAGCGGCCAGCAGCCTCTCGAGCTTTTCATCGCGAGTCAGGGAACGTTAGGTGCTTGTGTCTTCCTAGAGCCCTTTAAGGGATCATATACAAATACATAGGCTAGCTAATCCTCAAGTCCTTTGGCAGAAAAAGACCCCAAACCCTAAGCCCTAAGCCCTAAGCCCTAAGCCCTAAGCCCTAGGCCCTAGGCCCTCGGCCCTAAACCCTAAACCCTAAACCCGAAACCCCAAACCCAGTAAGCCAACAGCACCCGCAACGTTCCTCCCAGGAGGTGCGGAAGCTGGTCTCGGAGCAGACGCTGGCCCTGAAGAATAGAGGGCTGCTTTGGATCTAGAGTTTTTTGGGGTTTAGGGCTTAGGGTTTAGGGTTTAGGGGAAAAGGGGTTTAGGGTTCAGGGCTTTTAGGCGAACGGCTTGAGGTTTGGGGGTTTCGGGCTTTGTTTTTCACAGGGAGGAGTTCACGGGGTATGACCCACCAATATCTGTGTCCTTTGCTTGACTTGGGGCCATATTTTGGGTCGGGGGGGAAGGGTGAGTTCCGAAAGGAAACCCCAAAACCCGTATCCCTAAACGCCAAACCCCGACCCCCTGAACCCCCGAAACATCAAAACATGGACTTTCAAAGGAGCCGGATCAAATCTGCCGTCGAGGCGAGCGGCCTGCTACATGCGCAAGGCGCAGCGGAATCACTCACTTATTTTGAATTCAGCCTTAAACCACAAACCCCAAACCGTAAACCCTCAACCCGAAACCCTCAACTCTCAACCCTAAACCCCAAACCTTAAACCCTAAACCCTAAACCCCAAACCCTATACCCTAAACCCCTTGAGGTTTAGGGTTTGAGCCTCAGGGGTTCAAGGCTGGGTTCAGGGCCTTTAGGTTCTGCAGCTTGGGGTTTTAGAGGGGTTCAAGAGCTTTGGGTTTAGGGTTTTGAGGATTTTGGGAAGGATCTCCCCCCAAAAAATCACGAGGCTATCTCGAGCTGGAGTCGCAGCTCCAGAATTTCATGGCCGAGGTGGAGGCTGCAAGGGTCTGTCTGCGTTGGGGACGAAAAGGCGCATAGGATGTGGAGTGTAGGGTTTAGGGTTCAGGGTTTAGGGTTAGGGTTTCGGGTTTCGGATTTAGGATTTGGGGTGTAGGGTTAAGGGTTGAAGGCTCAGGGGTTCTAGATGTGCCTTCAACTGAGAGATGGCAGGAGAAGCGAGCCAATGCTGAAGCTGTCATCCTGGACCTAGTCAAGGAGCTTGTGCGCACGGCGCAGGAGGTGGGCACCCAAGCTTAAGATGAATTCAGGAGGTTTGGGGTCTAGGGTTTAGGGTTTAGTGTTTAGGGTTTAGGGTTTTATCTGAAGCAGTCATGCGTTGCAACGAATTTCTCGACGAAAAGTCCTCGCCGGCCAAACTCAACCCCCCGAACACGTACTAGCCGAGCCCCCAAACCCTTAAGCCCTTCATTCCAAAGCCTCCTCCCCCTCCCACCCCTGCCCACCCCTGCTAAACCCTAAACCCTAAACCCTAAACCCTAAACCCTAAAACCCTAAACCCTAAACCCTAAACCCTAAACCCTAAACCCTAAACCCTAAACCCTAAACCCTAAACCCTAAACCCTAAACCCTAAACCCTAAACCCTAAACCCTAAACCCTAAACCCTAAACCCTAAACCCTAAACCCTAGACCCTAGACCCTAGACGGTAGACCCTAGACCCTAGACCCTAGACCCTAGACCCTAGACCCGAGACCCTAGACCCTAGACCCTAAGCCCTAAGCCCTAAACCCGAAACCCTAAACCCAAAACCCGAAACCCCAACACAACGGGTACCCCTTCAGAGAAACCTCCCAGGTGGAGAGCATGAATTCCCAGGGCGCCATGGTCGAGGCGCCTGGGCCCACCCTCGTCTAATATAGGGTTTAGGGTTTAGGGTCTGGGGTTTAGGGTTTGGGGTTTAGGGTTTAGGGACATTCTTGGCAGGTGCTGAGGGTTTCACGGTCTCGGCTTTTGGGATCACGTACGGTTCGAGCCCATGAAGCCCCGAACCCTGAACTCCTAACCCAAAACCCCTCAACCGCAAGTCTTCCCCGAACCCCTGAATTCCCCCAAACGCACCTCGATGCGGCTGCGTAACCCTACACCCTACACCCTACACCCTGCACCCTGCACCCTACACCCTGAACCCTGAACCCTGAACCCTGAACCCTAAACCCCAAGCCCTAAACCCCAAACCCCAAACCCTAAGCCTTAAACCCCTGAGCCTACACCCCTCGAGACATCGAAGCTGTTCCATGCAGGAGCGCCTGGATGCCGTGGAGGCGCATCTTCGGCCGCCCGGCCGCAGAAGGCAACCCTGGAAAAAAGAACTCTTAATAATAAGAATAATAATAATAATAAATAATATTAATAATAATAATAGTACAAATAATGATGATAAAAATAATCATAGTAACAATGATATTTCTGATAATCATGATAAGAATAATAATGAAAAACATAATAAGAATAAGAAGAATGACAAGAATAAATAAAATTATACTAATAATAATCGGAAT